TTTGACCCTCGCTACTCCACTGAAGAAAATAATGAATGAGCTTCAAGTAGCTGCGAACCCCTAGAACATCAGACCAATGATTTGCGATTCGTTTCGTTTCATTTATTTCTCATTTTGATAATGACAAATAAAAGTACAAGTAGAATGGTTCAACATGCAGTGACATATTATAAAACGTTTTCATGATACGTGGAGAGAGAGAAAGAGATACATTGTAGTTCTAGAAATGCCTTCTTGATATATAAAATTCATTATTATTGTACTCATGCTTACAGCTTGTCTCTAATGCTAAATATATTACTCATTGCGGATATAGTATCGGAAATAATATCGCTAGTGACATTCGTTTGTCTCACAATGTATGGTCAACAAGGGATCTAAAAGATCACGACGTTTCGTGTGCCGCTGCTACACTTCGAAGGGATCTAAAAGATCACGACGTTTCGTGATCTTTTAGATCCCTTGTTGACCATATATTGCGAGACAAACGAATGTCACTAGCGATATTATTTTTCGAACTTGTCTCGATCTCTCTTTACCAGTAACTAGCTTGATTTAAAAACCATATCAAATTAGGCCCTATACTCTCGAGAAAAAAAATTATTGTTCGATCTGTTCGTTATTCTCTTGCAGTACATTATATTCAATGACGTATAGGAAATTGTTATCATTCGACTTAGTGACTTTCCCTTCTGGCATGTCTGACTAAACAGATCAATGTTTTTGTTTTCTTCATCGGCTTAAAGAAGATGGAGAGGCTGACAAAGTTCTCATAATTATACCTCCATCCAACATGTTCAAGGAGAAAATAGCACTTACACGATCGGCGATGGAGGGGGGGGGGGGGGGGGGCTGGTCGACTTAAATTGATAGGTAGCATATTGTTCAGTTGTGTAATTTTTCCAAATCCTCCTACACTTCACTGCCTTGTTACTTCGTAGTTCATCGTAAATATCGGCGCGCCCCACATCCCTAGATCCAGTTCCCCCTCAATAACTGCTACCCATGCTACGCCCCTGCATATACAACATATAGTCCTGTGCTTGCCCTTAAGCCTGTCTGCACTAGTTTGACCAGGAGGGATTAGATTTCCCCGCCGTGGTCACTGACAGGTGGCTATCTCATCAAATCAGCTCTCAATTAACCTAAGAAAAAGGGGATTTGGGGAACAACGGCCCGAACAACGGGCACGCGCTTAGGCATTGTTTGCTATATAGAGGGCGCAAGTAGATACAAGTATTGCAGACAGGCTTTAAACAAAACATAGATATACTAGTACTATCGATACTACATAGATTGGAAACATGCAGACTACAATTTCATGGAGCAAATGCCACAGGGCATCCCTTAAAATCGACGCCCCTGGACTTCAATAAATGTATCTTTTCAACTTCCCCGCAGACCAACCAAAGTAGGAAATAATTTAACTTATCTAGGTCGAACGATATGCGTAGGCTCTCTATACTTTTATTTACCCCTCTCAACGCGATCAATACATCGGATGGTGTCTAAAATTGCCCCACGAGTTCCCGCCGACTTGCTGGCTACAAATCCCACATCTCTGCTCTTAATTCAGGGGCGGATACAGGATTTTTTTCATGGGGGGGGGGGGGGGTCACCTTTCCCCAAAATTCTGACAGGTTATCGCGTAAACAAAATTTGTCCAAATGATAATTTGATAATTACAACAATGTTATGAAGAGATAAGGGAAGTCCTGTTAAAAAATAATGGTAATGAAAATTGAACATTTAAAAAGAAAGGAGGTCCGGACATCCGTGCAACCCCCCCCCCCCCCTCCTTCGTGTCTGCTGTACGGTAAAGCCTTTGAAAGCAAATCGAAGAAAATAAATCTGATAAATTCCATGTATGAGAGATGAGAGGAGATCCGTATACATTGGGGAGAATAAAAGGTTAAAGCTTATGATTGTTTAACCAAGACTGACTTTATCCTCTGGGAGGGCGATGGAAAGGGCAGGGAAGATCTATTTTTAATTACTTTTAGGTTGTCCTAGTTAAAAAGTCAACTTTCTAGATTACAATTTCTGCTCTTGAGAGATTTAGGCTAGGTTATTTCGGCGATAAAAAGTGTTTTGCGACCTGGAGAAAAAAGTTGACAAAATTGGTGAAGCGAACATTAGCTGTGATCAAATCGATATTGAGTGGATGCGTATTTTCTAGATGAATTTTTTCTTTTAATTTCAAAATTTGAGTTCAAAACGTGAGTTGAGGTCTGTATGAATGATAGCTGATAACCATGAGCATGTGGGAAACAATTATGCAAGGGATTGTCTTCTCTTGTCCCCGAATATTTCTCCTTCCCGTTTCTAAATTTTCCGAGCGAGTTCAAATGTTGGCGCTCTATTACCAATTCGTTGAAGGCTCGGGAAGGGGTGGGGGTTAGGCCTATTCATTTGATAACTGCTGACAAACACTCAAATCTAGCGCCGAAATGGTTAAAAATTATGAAATTATGAAATATAAGGGATTTTGCCCCCAGGTTTAAATGTTTAAAAAAAAATTTCCCCGAAAATCTCTACTCAGCATCACTCAGTTTCCATTTTATCTTGCCTTATACTCACCCTCATTGAGCAGACGAGAGAGGGCAACATGCAATTTACTCATGAAAATGGCATTTGTATTTTTAGCAATATCGAGCGGTTTTAGAAATTGCACTGCATTCATTAAACTTTCGAACTAAAAAGAAAAAAAAAGAGAATGCAGAAATATGTTGATGTTTTGCATTGAACTATTTGTAATGCGTTATCATCTCTTATTAATTAGTAATATAACCCCCCCCCCCCCTATCTTGAGAACCTATATATGTGTTTTTACAAATATCATTTTATCATTCAAAAGAATATTCAAAGCCTTTGTAGCTTTTTTGTTTTCTCCAAATGGTGTCATTAGTGTGGACAATTATATCCAGATTTTCCACATATTTTGAGCATTTAATTGCCTCCTCACCCTTCCCTATATGAGATTGAACCCCGCCCCCCCCCCACTCGGTGTTATTTAGGGTACGCATATGCGTGTTCCCTCCTTTTGAAAACACCCCCTAAGTCGGTGTGTAAAGTCAATTTTGTGTACTACGAGCCGGACTTTGGTGCGTGAAAAGTACCCCTTTACCGGACAGTTTGGTAACACGCATGCGGTCATTCCGACCCCGGAGTGGGGGAGGGGGGGGGGGGGGATTGAACATTGTGATGGACATTCCCCAGAGAAGTAAAGGTTGAGTTCTGGGAAGAGGTGAAAAATAATTTGTGAGCGTTATCATTTTATTATGCAAGTATGGAAGATCATCAGATAAAAAATGTTCCCTGAAAAGCATGGCTCCTTAAACGCCTTAATATTCTAAATATGGCATTTAACATCATAGAAATCGGGACAGATTTTTATGCCACATGTTTGTGTAGTCCAATATACATCTTTTTGTGTCAAGTGCTTGTGACTTTACCAAGACTGGGCCAAATTTCTTATCATTTTGAAGTTTTCAGAACCTTGCAGTACACACCAATATGCTAGATGATCAACCTTTTCTGATCGATTCCACGTTTCTTTCACGATGCAATCGCATGACCAGAACTTTACCGGCCCTTTTCGTAAATCACATAACAGCTACGACTCGCATGTAACTCGCCTTTCAGCGAACACATTTGTTTGAATGACAAACACAAGCATACAATTAAGTCAAACATATACAGTAGCCTCATTAAGCTGATCCGAATCTCTACAAGGAAAACATGCTCATTCTCAGAAAGTGACTTTCACCATCTGCCTGGTGCCACAGAATTTATTCACTATTCATGCAAAATTTAGATCATTTTGAGGCCAACCCGACAACACATTCAAAATGGGAAGTTCTTTCATATGAAGATAAAATTTTAAAGAATATTCATCACTAAAATTTCTCTTCTCTTCCGGACTTAAAGCAATTTCACCTTTTAGAGATTCCCATAATTGTAATAGCTTGATTTTCTTTATAACCTATTTTTTAAAAAATAAACTATCACCATCATGTTTCTCAAAAATTGCGGCCTTCACTCAAACAACTTGCAATTCAATTTACATTGCCCCATACATGAATTAGTTAGGAAAACCTAATGAATATCGTCGGTGGGGTGACAAAACCTTGTATCTCAATTTTTGAGATTTTGATTTTTTTGCATAATTTTGTACCTAATGGCCTACGACACCACCTGATAAATCCATGGAACGCCTCCTTTTCGGTTTTTCACAAATTCCACACAAACACCCTTAAACTAAACCTCATAACTTTAACCCCCTTTGAAACTGCACTGACAAAACCTCGTAACATAAGATACGTAATTCCTTTTTCTCGTAACTCACACACGGCCTAACAGTACCGAAGTTAGTGTATTCAAATCCTCGTAACTTATTCAACCAAAACCTCGTAACTCATTCAGAGTTGAAAGTAAGAACTCGTATCTCAATTTGAATACAAACTAAAATCTCGTATCTCAATGTAGATAAACGCAAAAACCTTGTAACTCACTTTCAAATATAAAAACAATTATTTTACTGTATTTCAACAATGACATTAAAAATTGTATAAATATTCCAGTTTTAAAAAGAAAGGACGATGTCACAGCACTAAATTTGTTGAGACAGGAAAGTTTTTTCGCTCTCCTGAAAATTCATGATTTTTGAGATACGAGGTTTTGTCACCCCGCCGACGATATAGCATATTTCCGTAAAATCACACACTTATGTAAGCAATAAGGGAACCATAAATCATTCAGAGTGCTGTACATCATTTTTGACAATTTAATTCTCAATTTGCCTTGCAGTAACATACTAGAACATCTATCACAACTTTTCAGTACCATAATACATGTACATTCAATTTACAGTGTCCCACACCCAACCATTTCAAATAATTAATTTCTGCAAATTCTTTGATCTGTCTACATCTTTTAGAAGTGCAGAACATTCAATACTACTACTACTACTACTACTACTACTACTACTACTACTACTACTACTACTACTACTACTACTACTACTACTATGTAATACCAAATCACCTCTGAGCCGTGGCTTCTCTCTCATGCATTTGCCCTTGCAAATTCTATACAGATTCTAAACATATTTCCCTACAACCATCAACTATCTCTGTAGTATTTCAAAAGAGAAGTTAAAATTATCAAACAAGTACGCCACATACGAATTGGAATGATTGGAATCACTTTAAGATTCTTTGATAAAAAATGTGCAGTTTGATTCTGAATGAAGAAGTTTTTACTTTGTAGCTGTGAATGTTGGATTTGGGAATCACTACTGTCTAACCTATTCAATGGCGGCAAACCTCTTTCAAGTAAAATTCAATGCTTCCATTGCATAATCTTTCACATCTTCAACAATTGATTCCTGCACTTAAAGTAGACATTAATTAATTAAAATAGACATTGCATTAAATGCATGTCAAATAAAATCTCATGATCTTAAGAAAGTGAAACGTGTCATATTGTTTCCCTAAAAATACATATGTGACCACAATCAGACATTTAAAATTGAATCTTGGTACCCCCCCCCCCCTAATAAATGAAACTGAAATCATACAAGCTGGGCACTTTGAAGCAAATTTTTAAGGAGTTACAAACCCTTCAATGGCTGGTTGGCTACCTTATATAATAGAACACTGAAATCAAGGCAAATTTACAATATTTGTTTCGTACAAACTCCTTTCTTTTCATACTTCATACCAACCAACATGATTATCTCACATTCTTGGTGACTCAAACTCTTAGATGGTTTGAATTCTGAAATCTATTCATTATTTTGGGTCATGAAACAACCATCAAATTAAGAGCTAACAGGGACCTGAGGAGGAGGTTTTGTCTCAGTCTCTTGCTTATTCTTGAGAAGCTGAATGCTCAAGCGATAGAGGTCCGTGTCTGCGTCCACGGCGCTGGAAAACACCGGTTCCGTCGGGTCCTTCTCGACCTTCCTCAGCTGTTTGCGGATAGCCATGTCCCTACGGGCACACAGAGCACGACGGCAGGGTCCGATGTCCTGTAGCAGGTTACGACGTTCAAGCCACCTTCTCCTGGCTAGGGCGTTGAGGGCGCCGATCTGATGCTTGAATGTGGGTGCTTCTTCTCCTTGGGATTGAATGAAATAAGGCAGAAAAAAATGTTTGAATGATTTAGTTAGTACAATATGGACCATTGACACAGATGCAAGCATGTAACTTAAAGGCATCATTTAACAATGTTAAATCTGAGATGCATGACCTAACGTGTTATCAGTGTCTGTGATATGGTGTAATATTGAAGCCCTAAAAAATGAGCTTCAAAAATGATCATGAAGTGCCTCAAAAACGTAAAAATCTTTGAGTGACTTGTTTTACCATACTCATTTTCCCAAATTGACTGAAGTGTTATAAAAACCGTTAGGCAAAAGAAAAATGAAAATTTTGATTTCCAATCATAAATATCTTGATAACCAGACAGTTGAGTGGATTGTAAAAGTCATGGGATTCCTAACTGACCTAAAGGTTTATAACTATGATTGAGTATGAGCTAAATCCAGGATTTTGTTTCAGAATCTGAGGCAATGTTACTGAGTCACTTTAAAATCTGTTTCTTCCTACCAAAGCATCAAGTAAATATGCTAGTAGGTAATCAGTTCTGTGAATCTACAACTTATCAGATACTCAACATGAACTCTTGATTGTTTGAATTGAGGTGATAATGGAAATTAAAAAAAATAAGCTATAGTCTAAATCATGTCTCGCAGCAATATTTGTTGATGCACGTTTGTAGACTTGGACGCTAGCTGGCACCACAAGGATAATATGCGTACATGCTTCTTGGAAGACAGTTGTTACACAAGGTCTAAATTGATAGGAATATGGCTGTGTGGCATCCAAGCAAGGGGGCAATTTGGGAGGTTTGTATGCATTGACATATTCATTACTCTTATCGTAACCCTTGTCAGGGAGAATGTACCTATGGCATTTGTTTTCTGAAATACCTAACAATCGGTATTAATAATAATAATAGGCATTTCTATAGCGCCGTCTACCGGTGTCTAGAAATTCTACTCCGAGGTGCATTTACTGTTACAGACCTGCCAACCTCTGGAGTTCAAAAACTGTATTCTTTAATCCCAAAATGTGTATTTTACTGACAAAAGCTGTATTCTTAAAAATAAACATGGACTGTTACGCGGATCAATGCCTCTTACAGTTCCTACATACAGGAAGAATTTTTTTATGGAACATTGGTTGAATATGCATAATTTCTTCACGACTGGTGTGTTCGATGAACCAATTAACATCCCCAAATTGCCGATGTGAGATGCTTTATAGGACAGAATGGGAATTTTGCCATTGAAAATGGCACACACACAAAATACAAAAAAAAAACTTTTTTTTTTTTTGGAAAATCGTATTATATTGAGGAAAATCGTACTGTCGTATTTGCTTCTAAAAATCGTACTAAATACGACTAAATCGTACTGGTTGGCAGGTCTGCTGTTACCCCAGCTTCAGCCTAGCTGCCATTACAGCGCTCCAGTATTTCAAGGAATTAATTTCTGCCAGGTACCGATGTACCTCACCTGGGTCAAGCGTGACAAATTTAAATCAATGTCTTGCCAAAAGACATTAGTGCGGCGGTGGGACTTGAACCGCGGACCTTGTGATCGACAGTCCAGTGACGTATCCACTCATTCACGACACCTCTACGGTGTTATACATGTATAACGGCGAGAACTTTGAATGCAAGCATGACAAGGTATGCAAAGCTCATCTTACCTTCATCTTTGAACTCTTCCTTGCAGACTTTCTCAATCTCCTCCATGAGATCAGGTCCAGCCAGAGCGCGAGAGACACCGATCCTTGCAAGGACATGGCCTGGTGAGAACCTCTTGAGGACCGACGCCTCGGCAGGCATGGCGGTCTTGACGGGCTGCTGTAGGTCCTTTATCATGAAAGCCCAGTCTACGTCCATAACATTGGCTTTATGAGAGAAAGGGATGTACAAGTAAAAGCATGTTCTCTATCTGTACAACTAGGTGAATAGGAACAATAGGTTCACAAACCAAATGTAATCAGGGTGCACTTCTTAAAAAGACCACATTTGATGAATGCGAACAGAGGTGTCAAAAATCAAAATGACTGAATCAGGAATTTCATAAGTTAGTCTAGATTGCAAAGAAGTGCAGAAAATGATACAAGGACAAAGAGAAAGATGCAAGAGATCTATTCTGAACAAAACTTGAAGCACCTAGACTGATATATTTCTATTAGAGTCTTGAGATATACAAGGTATCCATTTTGAAGTGAATGAGGGAGTGAAAGATACATTAGTATAAGGATAGTCAACTCAACATGTACAACAGAATAAGAGTAAAGAGTAAAAAAAAAGAAAATTTGAATAATATCTCACCTGGTTTTGCTTCTACTTGGCTTCCGCTTCTTCCCCTCCTGGATCTATCACCATTAGCAGAATCCTCAAATTCTTCATCGCTGATGTCCTCGTATTCATCCTGCATGCTGGCCACGTTGGCTCCATTCTCATCCTGGACTTCACCCATCTTCTCTGTCTCTGCTTCCTGGGAAACTGGTGTTGCAGGCATCTCTATATTCAATTGCTCTTGGACACCTTGTTCCAATGGCAGCTGTTTATTCTCTTCAGCCTCTGTCTTATTGTCTGCATCATCTTGAGGATGTAATGGATCTCGCGGGGCATCCGATGATGGCTCAGATCGAGTTCTGGTTGTGCTTTCTCTGGAAGATGCACGACTCGGGTGTTCTTGAACGCGGAGGGTCTCTGTGTTGTCTTCATGTTTCTCTCTGGCACTGACGATTGAGCTGCTGCGACTTCCGGTGCTTCCCCGACTCATGCTTCTGCGAGATCGATGAGCTGTCTGGGACGGTGTTTGATCATTCCTATCCATACTGTTATCTCTGCTGCTCATGCCCTTGGCACTTTCCCTTTGAGCACTCTCTGGTTCTTTGCTACGGGTTCGTTCCCTGGTGGGTTCTGCAAGGTCTCTAGGAGTCTTATCTAAATCTTGCCCTCTCCTATCCCGGCTCGACTCCCTTGAGGAATCCCTTTGAGGGAATGATCTCTGATCACCTGGCTCACCCCTTCGACCCAGTCGTTCCCTCTCCCGGAAGGCAGGGGAGCCTTTGTGGATATCATCACTCCCCCCTTCTGACAGATCACTATAGCTCTCTCCAGGACGTCTCTTGAATTCACCACCATCTTCTGGTCGCGCCCTTTGGTCTCTTTCATCCTCCTTCATCCTCTTGGACCCAGCCGAGTCTTGAACCTGGTGGGGATCATCAGGCCTCTCCCTTTTCCTTCCATACCTGTCATCCTCTCTTCTATCCCTATTACTTCCTCTATCATCAGAGGGCCGTCCTCTATCCCTATTATCATCAAAACCCCTTCTACCAGGTCCTGGTTCATCTCTTCTACCTCCTCGTCCATCAGGATATCTGGGTTCTGGACCCCTTGGATCTATTCCTCTTGGATCAGGTCCCCTTGAATCAGGCCCCCTTGAATCAGGCCCCCGTGGATCAGGCCCCCGTGGATCAGGCCCTCGTGGATCAAGGCCTCTAGGGTCCGACAATCTTGAATCATAGCCTCTTGAATCAGGCTTTCTTGGGTCTGGACCCCTTGGATCCGGTCCTCTAGGATCTGGTCCCCTGGAATCTGGCCCTCTAGTGTCACTCCTCCCACCATCCCGCCTGCGATCATTACCTTGATCGTCTCTATACCTGTATGGTTCGCCTTGACCACGCCTATCATTTGAGCCCTCTCTGGGTCTCCTGTCCTCCTCCCGTAAAATATCCCTCCTGTCAGCTTGTGGATAATCCCTCCTGTCGTCTTTTGGGTACGGCCTTTGGTCATCCCTTGGATAGTCTTTTCTATCGTCCCTTGGATAGTCTTTTCTATCATCTCTTGGGAAGTCTCTCTTATCATCCCTTGGATAATCTCTCCGGTCGCCGCCTTTTGGATAGTCCCTCACATCACCCACAGGGATATCACGCCTGTCATTTCTCGGGTAATCCCTTGGATCTCTGTGATCGTCCCTTGGATAGTCCTTTCTATCATCCCCTCGAACACCATCCCTACGATCATCTTGAGGGTAATTAGGCCTGTCACCGTCTCTTCGATCATCCCCCTCCTGTCCCTATCACCCCACTTGGCCCTATCACCATAGTCTCTGCGTTCATCTCGTTGGTCCCTGACACCAGGACTAGGACCTGGGGGAGGTGGGAAATCTTGGTAATGTCTGCTATCTCCAGGGGCACCATGCCAGGGACCTTTGGCAGGCTGGTCGTGAGGGTAGGGCGGCAGGGGGTGACGTTTCCCTGGTGATCTGGATCGCACATCGTCAGGTCGTTTCCTACAACAATAAAAAATATTAGAGTAACTTGAAGGTCAAATACAGACTCACTATTCATATCAATTTAATCATCTTTATGACAGAATAATCCTTGTGATCCTAAAATGTATAGCATTGCAATGGAGAGAACTACCACAAGTTTAAGCTGCTATGGACTAATGTCATTTCTCCAAGATCTGATCTTTGTCTTCACTCTATACCTAGCCAATGACAACAGTGATAATAATAACATCAAGTGCTCTTACATATTACATGTTCTCACAGCCCTTAACAGTGTTTGAACAAATGAACATAAAGTAGCAAAAGTTAATGATAATCCTTGCATTACTTGAATTGGAGAGTTTTGAGCATCTTCTTTAAATTATATTAGAGACAGGAAAACAGATCGTGGCAGGTCATTCCACAATGATGGTGCAGAGATCTAAAATCCATTTTCGTTGGCTTACTCTTTATTCAGGGCACATAAAGTATGTTCAGGCAGATAATCTTACCATAAATTACTACAATACATTTACTTATTTGATGATTCAATCATTTTAGATGACAACAAAAAGGCATCTCAAAATGTTCATGTTAACAGATCAATCAAAGATATATTCCATCAATACAATTAAACACAAGGTATAGATAGATAGTGTCTACTCACACATATGGTGGTTCCATGCCTCTATCCACCGGGCCTCTGGATGGCGGTGGGGGTTGATCGTATCGTCCCCTCGGAGGTGGAGGAGCGGCGCTTGAACCTCCCCGTTGCCGATCCCACTCATCTCGGCGAGACTCCCGTTCGCCCCTCTCTGGACCACCTGGACCCCTCTGGCCAGTGGTTCTCGCCCCTCGTGGATCCTTCTGGTCCCATTGTTGACCTCCTGTGTAAGAAAAGGAGATAAGTCAATGGTTAGAAGCTCATTTGTAATAGTAAAGGCGCTCAGACATATATTCCAATGAGTTAGGATTGCCTTAGGATTTGAGATAAGGTTTATGGTTAAGCGTTTGGGGTGAGGCATAAATATAGGTACTATGCTTGGTCCAAGTTTATAATTTAGCGACTGCAGAGCAAATATTGCTGACTTGTGTGTCGTACAACCCTGGTACACAACACTTCAGGTCAGTCAGATAGCAGATCGCCTGTCTGATTATCAAGATATTTATGATTGGGAATTGAAATTTAAAAATTTGTTTTCCAAACAATTTTTATAACGCTACAGTCTATTAGGGAAAATGAGTACGGTAAAACCAGTCACTCAAAGATTTTTACTTTTTTGAGGCAATTCATGATCATTTTGTGGCGCAATTTTTTAGAGCTTCAATATTACACCATATCACAGACACTGATAACATGAAGGGCCATGCATCTCAGATTTAACATTGTTAAACGATCCCTTTAAGGAGGAGAAAAACAAATTCCTCATTATTGCTACCGTATTTGCCGGCGATAAGGCCGCAGTGTCGCATAGGCGGCACCCCCGATTTTGTCATTAAAAAAAAAAAAAAGACCGCACGGCTATCAAGACTCTGATGCTTTCTCTTGCAGCTTTCTCTTGTGTATTGCGCCATAGCTTTGCTCGCGCGAGCTAAGACTGGATTGAGGTTGCTTTAGCTATGGCAAAAACTTAAATCTAGATCTACCAGTAGAGTTTGGTTGGTAAGTTATGAATTTTATTTACGAGATTGACAAAACTTTGCCCTTCATTTAAAAAATATAACACATAATTGTCGGTGAGACATGTGTTATTCTAGAAATGTCCATCACCTTTCATTATTGTCCCATATGTACAAATTTGTGCTGTCTTTAATGGTTTTGACTTGCAATTTTTTTTTTTTTTTACTCTTTCGCCGCAAAGGCTGCACACTTACTTTTTGATATTTTCTCTTCCAAAAATACTGCGGCCTTTACGCCGGCAAATACAGTAATCATTCCGAAAAATAAAAAATGTCAATACATTTCTTGTATTGTTTCTCTTGATTTCATAGTACTGCCTTTGGATCTACTCGCCTTGCTGAGGGTATCCACCACCAAAACGAGGGTCACGATCTCCATGGAAGTCACCTCCTCTGCTTCCGCTCTCTCCTCTTCCCCCTCTTCCTCCTCCGCTTGCCCCACTACTTCCCCCTCTTCCTCTACTATCAACGCCTCCCCTATCAACCCCTCCTCCTCTGTCTCCTCCTCTGTCTCCTCCTCTGTCCATCCCTCTATCCATCCCTCCTCCTGGTCGGCTACTGCTGCTTGACCGCCCCACTGCATCCCGTCCTTCGCTCCTTCCTCCCCTGTCATCATCCCTCCCTGGTTGCTGCCAGCCTGGACGATCATTGCCCCCTCTCCCTGATGACGATTCACGAGGGTGGGATCGGTCGTATTCGTAGCTGCTGCCCTGCCCAGGGCGCCCCTGTTGGCGGGATGTGGAACTGTCCCGGCCGTCGCGGCTGCTTGGTGGAGGTGGTGCTGCTGGTTTGCCTGTAAAACGAGGGGAGAACATGTCTTTAAACTGTACAAGTTGGCATCCTACCACTGAAATATAATGATGAGGTACTATGGAGTTTGAGGATTTGAGCAGCAAATATGAAACATGTCAATAATATAACAGCATTAATCTATCACATAAGGATTCTCTGCAGCAATATTCATGCGCACCTTAGCTGCATATAGCCAGCTAATCATGTATTCACTATGCACAATACATGTACCAGGAACTCTAGGCATTCTGCATGGTTAATACATAACCAGCTGTCCAGGGGCGGATCTAGAGAGCAGCGGGGGCATAAGCCGGTAGGGGGTGGGGGGGGGGGGGGGGGGAGGGGGTAATGAGTACAATTGCTGTTGTTGCTCAACACCCCCCCCCCCCCCCCCTCCACCTCCCCCTTGAGCAAGACAGAAATAAAGGTCAAATTGTGGTTACCATCTATTAAAAAAACCTTTTTGTTGTTGCCAGGGGTGGGGGCCCATCTTCTTTTTGTTTCTTTTTTAAAGGTAATATTGGGGTTACCATCTTTGTTTTTTTACTTCTTTTTTTTTACAGGGATGGGGGCCCTGGCCCCCTATGCATATGGCCAGCTACATGTAGACACACAATGTCCTTAGCAGCATCTATACTACAATAGCACAATTTGGAGAAATAAATTAAAAGTACAAATCTTCAGTAATACCTCCATATTTATCTCCCCTACTATCCCTCTCTCTGTCTCTGTAATCTCCACTGGCCGATCTTAGTGGCGGAGGAAGGTTCTTCATTGGAGGAGGCTCGGCTCGCCTTGGAGACGGGGACTCCCTCTTACGTCCGCGACCAGGTGAGAATGACTTATTGGACCTCGTCATGGACGGAGAGCGCCCTCTCTTGGAATAGTATGGCAAGTCTTTAGACGGTGCCCCATGCCCCTGGCGGGATGAGGTATAGGAGTCTCTCTCCGGGGTGGGGGCACGCCTTGGGGGAGGGGGCTTGTCCTTCCTGGGTTCTGGGGATGGGCTGTGGGAGTAGAGCGAGGAGGGTTGCTTGTGCTTGCTGTTCGCAGACTGTGAACGCTTCTCTGGCGTCGGGCTCTTTCTACGTCCGGATTCCTTCCGGGCCTGACGCAAGCGTGGCGTCAGAGGGCGTCCCGGGGACATCGATTCAGAAGAGTCTGATCGGGTCGGGGTGGATGGAGAATACCGCCTGGATTTGGGAGATGGGGGCTTTGGTTTGGGCTTTGGTGGTGGGGTACGGGTGCGTGGCGCTTTGACAGGCTGTGGATGGTGGTGGTGTTGGATTGGTGGGGCTAGTTTCTTCTTGGCTGGGTTGGCTTGGGATTTCTTCTTCTTGACATATTCCTCCTCAGAATCACTTGAACTGCTGCTTCCGCTGCTACCGCTACTGCTACTGTCACTCCCACTGCTACTGCTGCTACTATCGCTAGAAGATACTCTGCTGAAATTATTGGGGAAAACAAGAAATACAAAATTATGCTTAACTGTTCTAAAACCTTCCACTGGCATGGTATTAAATCTCATTCTACCTACAGATGACGGGCTTATATTATAGAGCTGCTTTACTGAAACAAACATGTACCATAAAGAAGTAGAAAAGCAATTTAAAAAAATCTACAGACCTTTCTTAAAGGTAATACAAAGTTTTGGGAAATTTTGAAAATTGTTTTGGATAATGATTCTTTACAACTTTGATATATTTGGATGCTCCTGTGGATGTATTATAAGCACTAGAAAATTTAGCTCCTGAAACACTTCTGCTTTCGAGAAAAATTGAAAATAAAAATTACCGGTGCTCCAGGTAAATTTTGATGATTTTCAAATAGCGCCTATGGCCCTACAATGTTAGCTGCGACCATGAAAATCTCAGAATGTGTAGTTGTGATATATAATTTCTAAACGGGAATAGCTAATAAGTCGATTTAGTCAAAAAACATTGTTTTATGGCTTAATTAATATCTTGACCTTGAGAGGGAGCTATACGACATAAAGAGTTATTTATTAACAATTTCATAACTTTAGACTCGATTTCAACCGCGACAACGATCAATGAATATTGTAGGATCGCATATGCTTTCAATATGTTCAATTGAACCAAATTTATGACCCCATACCAAAACTTTGTATTACCTTTAAACAAATAAAAAGAACATTAGCTATTAGGCTTCTTCTCTGACTAAAAGACCCACAACATCGCAACAGGTTACAACCTCACTATTCTGTCGACCATAAATCTTAATCTGAAATATTCCACATGTTCACATTTCTATATATCTCTTTTGCTATTGCAATTATACGTCGTGTGCAGGTGTTTTACTAACCTCTTTTTCTGTGCCCCTTTCTTGGGCATCGCCGAACCTTTCTTCTTCTTCATGCTGCCTTTGAGTTTCTTGGGAGTAGGTGACGGGCTCGGCGTACGAGGACCCCTCCTAGCCGGTGATAGACTCACCCTCTTCTTCTTCTTCTGTGGCGGATAAGTATCCCTTTTTCTAGAAAATGTTAAAGTGGGAATAATTTGACTTTTAAGTGATGACAATTTTGAGCAAATGAATTTGCGGACTTAATCATTTTCAATTTGCTAACTATGAAAGAACAAGAGGCCATTCCATGAAGCTAGCCAACACAAGAAGCCGCCTTGACATCAGGACACAATTTCTATAGCCATAGAGTTGTAAGTTAATGGAACAAGCTGCCACAAACTGCCACTGATGCTCCCACACTCCTCAGCTTCAAACACAACTATCCAACCTGGGTTTTTAAATGGGTCCCCCTTAACCCTGCCATACCACACTATCTATACTGGATCTTCATCACCACGATGGCGAGGTGTGGGCTTCAAGGTATATTCAAGGTATATAACAAAGCTTTTTGCTGAAGTGTGAACAAATAAGAATCTGTCATGTAAACTGCTATGTTTTTCTAAAAGTGAAAATATTTTTTTGTTAAACCAAGTAGTGGACATAATGAAGTCTTATGATGGTTATACATGCATGACACACACTCCTGACACATCATCTGTTTGGAGCCAGAAGGGCGTTAATTCTTGGTAAAAATAAGTTAACACCCTTCAGACTCCAAGTAGACAATGTGTTACAATGACGATTGCTCTGTAGACCTTTTCTCTATTAATCACAGTCTGACGTTTAAACCTAGCCCAAACACAAAAGATTCTTGTACTTGCACCCCTAATATTTATACTCATAATATTGCTTTACCAAGGTAATACTTGAAGGCAATTTTATGGATGGACTCTATGCAGTATACCAGCATGGAAAACAAAACAGAGAGCAAAATAATTTTGTTTTCATGGTTGTCCCCTTTATAGCCCGCCTGCACTAGTTTGGTCAGGGGGATTAGACCTCCCTGCAAGGTCACTGACTGGTGGTTATCTCATCAAATCAGCTCTCAATTAATATAGGGGATCATGGGGAACCAACAGGCACCGATTAGGCATTGTTTGCTATATAGAGGGCACAAATAGCTATAAGTAGTGCAGTGGGGCTTTAAAGGGGACAGTGTCATTGAGCTGCCAGAGAGTGCCTTTGAAAACCTCACAGGGGCCTCACAGGTTGAATGTACTGCATGACGGGTGCAAAGCGCATGCCTCCTGTATCAGAATGATGTACTACCATGGCACATGAACCACTCTGGTTGAAACAGCTATTTCTTATTGTATTTGAAACATGACAGCATTTGAAGTGCCAGTGTAACAATATGATTGCAGGGACCTCAGGGGGAACAGTATCAATAACAATGGCCACGAAAGGAAGTCAGTAGTTTTGCACCTGATCTAAGGATAGACTTATACAATCAACTTCCCAGCTGTGATTCTCGCCTCAACCACCATGAGCCAACCAAGGGCACAGACAACACGTTCACAACCTCAGAGGAAATCGAAAAGGGACATATCGAGTGATTCTGAGGCTGTTTCTGCAAACGTTGAATGTCTCTCTGAGAATGATGAGAAGACGATCGGCCCAGTACTTGCTTTGTGACAAATTTTTGTGGTATATCGGCTGTCTTCATCGTACAAAAGTTAACAGCTGATTTATTAACAGTTCAGGAATAAAATGATCATACTTTCACAAAACCAATTATTGGAAGTGGTGAGTTTGCTACAGTGAAACCTTTCAGTTTTTGTATGTATTACTAGTAGCAGACATTTTGAAACCCTGGACTGTAAAGGACACAGGTGCAATAATTTCAATATTAGTTTTTTGACTTATTTATATACTATGTATTGTACTTTTTAAAATCAATTGTTATTATTACTATTGTGAATTTTAATAGATTTTTAAAATGTAAATAATATATTTAAATAGCTACACATAAGTATGGTAATGTTAAGTGTGACAAATGTTGTTTGAATGATTGTAATAATTGAAATATGATTTTATGTATTGAATGGAGCTCATGTACATGTGGCAAAGAAGAGAGGCAACACACTGGCTCCAGAGGGCTCTAAACTTTCCGGTCACTGGAAGAAGACCTTGCTGGCGACCCAGGAAAACTTGGGACGGAAACCATGAGGAAGATGCCAAAACATCTGGCATCAGTCATATGGATCCCACAGACAGGAAAGCTTGGAAAGCAGTCATTAAGGAAATGAAATGTTGAACCCCACAAAGTGGGACAAATGGACATTAAAGACTGATGATGATGATGATGTGCAATATTATGTAAACATGCACAATTCAGCATATTGGCTGCGAGGCATTATATTTTAATAAAACCATTATTGAATTGGATAGAATTGAAATGTTAACACGGCAACCTACCCAGGAGATATCTTTTTCTTGCCTTTCTTCTCCAGGGCGGGGGACATGGACCTGTGAGGGGGCGACCTGGAGCGAATCTTACTGCTAGACCTGTCCCTCTTCTTGGTCTTCTTGGCGAGGTGCTGGCCCTTCTTGCGGACCGGGGACGGGGACCGGGAGGAGAGCTGACGGGAGAATTCGGCACTGCTGTCATCTCCCTGAGCACGCAAAGAGAGAGAGAGACAAGTATGACATTAAACAGTGAGGCATAAATTCATTAAAGGCATTGTTTAACAATGTTTCCAGTTTTACAAATCTGAGATGCATGGCCCTACGTGTTATCAGTGTCTGTGATATAGTGTATTATTGAAGCCCTAAAAAAATTGTGCTTCAAAATGATCAGGAAGTGCCTCAAAAAAAGTAAAAATCTTTGAGTGATCGTTTTTACCATACTCATATTTCAAAGTATACAGCAGTGTTATAAATACTGTTAGGAAATTGAATTTCTAAATTTCTAATTTCAATCATAGATATCTTTATAATCAGACAGGCGATCCGCTTGTAAAAGTCATAGAGTTCCTGACTGACCTAAAGGTTTATAATTATCATTGCAGCATGAGCTAAATCCAGGATTTTTTTTCAGAGTCTGAGACATTGTTACTGAGTCACTTTAAGTAGGAAATAAAATAGTTAGAAAACAGATAAATGTATCAAACAAGCATACCTGTCCATGATCAATCTGTGCGAGTTGTCTTTGAAGCTCCCTGCGTTGTTCCTCAAGACCATATTCATCACTCAGCGGCTCATCATCTGAAACATTATTTTTAAAAATGTTGATGATGATGATATTCATAATAACAACAAATGATAAATACAACAGCAACAACAAGAATACATAGTAATACTTCTGTCACACCGCCGAACAACTCTACACCAAACCCAAACTGACCGACTTTTAGTAATATTTTGTTCAATCTGCAGTCGACATGGTGTTGGTCTTGGCGTTTGTATGGCCGAGGTATTCACATGTCCATTGTACCCCAAAAAGTGAGGTTATGGCAGTAGTCCATACCTCATTTTTGTATATATCTGAACAGAAAAAAAACAATGTGACTATAAGTGAGGTTTAGACCATGGTTCAACCCACACTAATTTTTTTTCTCATGTAACCATGGTTTTTCAGCCAACAAAGCACATGTGAATGGAGTGAGGTTTGAACAGCGATGTTTTACATTCAATCACTCATTACGGTTTGCATTTGGGATGTAGGTGATCTTGCAAGCAAAGAAAAGTGAAATTTGTTTGAATACAATTTTTGGCTTGTGTGAATGCATGCAAAAAGTCATTGATGTTCGGACCATGGTACAAACTCTACTTTGATCTTGATACTCTGTACTAAAAGACAAGTAATTTACCTGTAGGTGGGTTATCGTAGCCCTTCCATTCATCCGTATCACCATGATTACTATCAGGTGATCGTCTTCCACCCTTCACCACGTGTGAGCTGGGTTCACGACCTTTCTTCTTTCGTTCCGAGCCCTCGTGGTCTTTGTGGCTCCCTCGATGCTTGGAGTGGTCACGCTGCAGAGAGACAGAGAGAAAGAGACATTTTTCATTATGTTGAGACTTTAAAATTGCTCAAGCATGGGTATATAGAGGGCAGCACACAGATGTACGCAAGCGTAATATCCATTAGCTCAGTTTTGTGTAGTGATCGGGAGTGATCCTCAAGTTGCCTACTTCACGAATGACTATAATTATACCCAAGCTTGAGTATCTCTAATAGTTAGCCAGAACAACTGTTTGCCCAAATAAACATGTATAACTTGTGGCTTTTCCAACACATTTTTTTGTTCTGTTATTTATCTACATATCTTTAATATAAACCACTTACTATAGTAAACAAAACAAACTTCCTTTTTAGACTGATCAGGAATTCAAAAGGTAAAAATTTATAACAGAACGCACCTTTCCGCTGGGAGACGGAGATGGGGTCCGATGTCCACGGCTCCGATCCCGACTTCCGTCACGATCTCGTTCCTTCTCAGCTCGCTTGCTCTCAACTCGGTGCCTCAAATCCAAGGAATCGGATCTGCATTGGACATGGGAGTGGAGATAAAAAGTTAAGATAAGAATAGTCATATTTGTAAAGTGCTTGATACAATGTTTCTATTATAAAGCAAAAAATATTATATCTCTGAAACTTTCAAATGTTTTAGAGAACATGTCAGAGATTACACTTCATGAAAAATGTTGTCAAAGTCAAGTGATCCACAAGGTCAAAAGGTCGAAGTACCCCAACATGTACCAATCTTCGAAATGATGGCAGATTTGGAATCCTTATTGAATTCCCTTTCCAACAATACCAATTTTATGAAGATTGAACCCTTAGTTCCTGAGATACAAGGTTTCAAAGGTAGGTGGCCACACCCATTTTTGCAGAAAATCTCAAAATATGGTAGGCCGTACTACCTGATTGGCCTAAAATTTGAGATTTAGTGCTGTGAGATCACACTCACCAAGTAAACTAAGTTTCAGCAAAATCGAAAATGGTCTGGATAAAACCATTTGGTGATTTTACATGGAAAGACCCTTCCATTTTAAATATTAATGTTTTCCATGAACTTACCCTTCTCCGTGGCTGTAGTGATCGTGATAAGATCTGCTGCCCTCGCCCTCCCACTTCCCATAATGGTCCTGTTTGGAGCCCTGATAATGAGAAAAAGAATAATTGCATTAGAAACATATCAATTGCATTGATCATGTCAAAAGTTCATGGACACTAATATGGCAGTACTGTCATGAATGAAACAGTAAACCACCATGCACTCCACACAGCAGCAGTGCTTCATTCGGTCAAACCCATTGGTGTCTTCTCTACAACGCAAGTGTGTGGATGTACATGTAAACGGATCAGTGGTTCTTACATGTAAACCATGATTTTAAGTTAGCCATCATATCAATTGTTCATGAAAACTAACACACACATCTACAAGTAAAGCCTCGGTCACAAATGCCATTACGAACAGCTACGAATGCCGTATGAACAATGGAAATCCGGGAAGACAATGAAAAAACACGGAGATTCGTACGAAATTATCGTTCGTACGAACTTTTGTGACCGTAGCATGAGCGTCCACTTTTACACAATAAAATTTCCAATGTGGAAGTATTTACTTTTGGCATGTTTCAGGTTGGGCTTCAAATAACATAATGAACAAATCATAAAAGCATCAGTTAGCATGAAGCATTTATATGCATTTGCTAAAATGCATGTAGCAAGAGAGCATTTCAAGAATTTGTTCACACATTCAGCATACATGCAGCACACCTGCAGCACAAGCTTTGCTTACAATACAAAAACTGTCAAGTTTCCCTACATGACAAAGTGCCCTTCTGAGTACTAGCAGTAGGACATTCATAACAGGTGAATTCAATAGAGCATTTTGAGAAAAGCAGGCATGAGTTTGAATACATTAAACTGGTTCATTGTGAACAAATGGCATTCAAATTTCAAACCTTTAGAAAACTTTTGAACCCCCTCACACTATGAATATGACTGACAAAGAAAGTGGACAAAATATACAGTTCCTCAGGTAGACAAAGGAACATCCCTTCACTGCTATTATGTAAAAAGGCGAATATGCATGTGACACCTGTTCTACACATTTTTACATAACAGTAGTGAAGGGATGTTCCTTTTTCTACCTGAGGAACTGTATATTTTGTTCGCTTTCTTTGTCAGTCATGTTCATAGTGTCATGTACTTTCTTAAGTTTAATGCATTTACCTTGTTAGGCGCCTTGAGCATCTCTTGGGGTGGATGTGTGCGCATTATAAATGTTGTTATTATTATTATTATTTTATTGTGAACAAATGGCATTCGAATTTCAAACCGTTAGAAAACTTTTGAACCCACTCACTAGGCCATTATGGTAATGTACCAATTGACTAGCCTTTGTTTAGTGCCTCATTGCAAATTATTTGACTCACCTGTTACAAATAATTGTTTCTAAATAGTCAGAATACAAATGGCAGTGCAAGCCATAATGCTTGTCCTACCTAACAGCCATTGTACAATGTAGGCAAATTGCATTCTGATTACCGGTACAGGAATACAATAATATGTAAATGCAATACCTTGTTGCTAGTTAAACATGAGAACATGTATACAAATTATTGGTCTTTTGTCCGTCTCATTGGCGTAAATGAAGATTTACTTTCATAATTTGTTTATCTCTAGTTCTTTACTAATAATATACCATAGGGGATGACTCACTCAAGTATTCAGACAAAAAAAGATTAATCTGATCTGCTAGCAGCAACCAATGTAAATGTAGGTAATTTTTCTGATTTCTGATTATAGGAATACAATACTATGTGTTTGCAATACCTCATTGCTACATTTGTAGGTACACATGTATATTGTATAAATCATTGGTCTGGTGTCCATTTCAACGTTCACTCTCTGGTTCCATGGGGCTGGCTCAACCAATTATTCAAAGAAAACAAAGTAAATTTGATCTGGTAATAATGGCAAATGATTTTATATGACACTAGTACCAGAGCACCATTTTTTGTGTATACCCAGACTGTGTGTGTTGTGTACCCAGACAGTTGATTAAAAACATTAATTTGAAGAAGTTTACAAGCAATACTTCAGACATTTTCTAAGACTTACATGTACTGTACATGTACGTTACAGAATATCATAAAAGACAAATATTCATGACTGTTTTCTGTTAAATCCGAAGGCAAACAAGACATCTTCATGTTTTTAAGTGTCCGAACACCCCTCTCCCCCCCTATCATACTAGTATTATCTGGCATTACTTACATGAGAACTGGATCCACCCGGTCCGAGTCGTTCAAAGACGCTGGGTCTCCGACTATCAGAAGAGGAGTCCCGGACCGACTTTGAGCTATCCACTGTGACTTTCCTAGGCATCCTCTCAAAGCTCAACGCTACAGGCTTTTGTTATTTCAACCAGCGTCCAATCTATCCTGTTGAACCATTTAAAAAAAAAATAGATTTAACCAACAACAAAAAATAAAGTCATTGCTTCATTTAAATTCAGTCTAACTACCAGAATAATTGGTTGATAATATAAATAATACATTGATTTGAATGATGACAAAAAAAGTGTTGTTTAAAAAATCTTTTAAAAAGGCGTTTTTATGAGCATGTGATTAGGGTCTATCAGTATTACAGGATAGCCCACCTTTATAACTTATCTTGCCAATGTCACTGGACTCCCTACATGTACATGTATACCAAACTAAATCTAGTTTGGTGTGGTTGTGGGCACTGTGACTGTAGTCGTGGAGTACCGGAGTCAAAACTCCAGCACAAAGATTCTTCTCCCACCCATATAACAAATTAAGACTAAGAAAACTTTACCAAAGACGTTCCAGAACACAACTGGCTGGCCACTTTTATTTTAACAGAGTGGTCCAACCTTGGAATTATCTACCAGATAAAGTTGTGTCTGCACCTACATGTGTACCTGCCCACACATAGGAGCATCACTATCCTGGCTGTGGAGTAAAAGCTGTGCTTTTGATTCTCAACATTTCAAACACCACTGTACAAAACTCAACTGATTTCACTCAAAATCGGTACTTAAGTAACAATTGATGACACCTAAATACTAGTAAAGTACATTGTGTAACTTTAAATTACTTTTTTAACTTACTGATGTTAAAAAGAATAATTTAAACATTCAAATTGTAAGTCTAGTGTCAAAATTTGCTTACAGCTGTATCGACATGATTGTGTACAGTCTATGCAATATTGTGTGGTGTGTATTTGTGTATAGGTCTAATAATACCTGCCTCACAGCAAGCATGCAGTGCTAGAGGTCAGTACGCATTAGCATTGACTCTCTATGCTTTGCTGGAGTGTACCTGCCAACAGTGGCCACTTTTAAGAGTCAATTGAGAGCCCTACCCTTAGGAATAAAAAGAATCAAAATTTGCTTACAGCTGTATCGACATGATTGTGTACAGTCTATGCAATATTGTGTGGTGTGTATATTTGTGTATAGGTCTAATAATACCTGCCTCACAGCAAGCATGCAGTGCTAGAGGTCAGTACGCATTAGCATTGACTCTCTATGCTTTGCTGGAGTGTACCTGCCTACAGTGGCCACTTTTAAGAGTCAATTGAGAGCCCTACCCTTAGGAATAAAGGGCTAATCTACCAAGTACATGTACATGTATACCAAGTTAGTTAACTAAATTCTAAATTTTTCAAAGACCACTCTTTCTTACTTGCGCAACAAGAACAAATAGATAAAATGTTAAAATGTGGGATAACAGGATATGTGAAAGTCTCCACATATACATACACAATCAGTTTGTTTATCTTCTTCACCTTGTCCTTGAAGCAGCACTGGAAGAAAAGCTTAAACTTGTCATGAATTTAAAGTGGAATTGAAGTCTGAAGAACAATAAATTGAATAATCATGCCAATTTGCCATCAAATATCACTATACTCCTGGGGCTCGTTCCTAGAAACCAACAACAAGACAGTCATAACTTTATTCGCCAACTACGGAGATGTCTCTGATCTTCCTAAACCGTTTCACGAAGAGCTTACTAGATAGATATCTTGTGAGATCGATACTATCGGCGAGAAGAGGAGCCACGACTTAGCCTTAGTAATACCACCGGATTATTACAAAAGTAATATTAGGGAAAATGCAATTATTTAAATGAATTCGTAATAAAAAAGATTGAAAATGATACCAAGAAAAATAAGAGATGCAATATACACGTACTTCCAAATTTGTATAGATTATACAACAGAAGTACTTGTATTAAAATATAAGTGAGTATTTCAGAAGTACTTGTATTAAAATATAAGTGAGTATTTCATTACATGACCGGTGAATCAGTTCTGTTCTTGAGATGGGTACCCCCCAGATATTTTCATTTGATAGTTTATAAAAATACACCCTTATATTCTTCTTTAAAAAAAAAATGTTTTGAAAGTTTTGTCCATTGTTTTAGGCGTCAGTACAATATTCAAATGACAAAACTTTGACATTCCAAACGTTAAAACTCATGTTTTAAAGTATTTATTTTACACATTTGAAGATAGAATTTATCTCGAAAGCAGTATGGGTCTGAAAACTAGAGAATACACTTCTAACTATGGGTTGCCTGTCGTGGCAGATTACCCATCCTATCAAGGATTTTACAATGTGGAAATAAACACATATAATCAGTTCAGTTAAATGGGAAAAGCCTTAGATATAGGTATAACCGTGACATATTTTTAAAAGATTTTCAAATATAAAAAAAACAATAACTCCCTGTTTAAGTGAATGTGTAGTTAGATCATAGCCCGAGGATTTCTTGTCCTTTTTTGCCAGCCATAGATCTAGTCTACCCAATAAATGACATGTGATGGCGCTACCCAGTACCCATCGACTAAAAAGTTACGACAGAGATATGACGGTGTCAGCTCAGAGGCGTCATAACTACTTAGTCAGGATGTTGTCGGTGATCTTGGCAAAGAGGGCTTTGTGAAACACGTAGCGGACAAGTTGCTCACTAACGCTGATTTAGTCAAGAAGTTAGACTTGTGTCATTTGTGACGGTTTCTAGGAACGGGCCCCAGCCATTTGGAATTTTTTTATAAATCATTTCTATACAGTAGACCATTACAGAGTCTAAAGCCTTTCTCTTTGTAAAAAATTAAAGGCAATGCAAACAAGTAATACACTCAAACACATAATTCATTTAATTGTCCATCGCAGCTGCACTGGAGAAGAGGCGGCAGAGGAGAGCGGAGGAAGTGCGGACCCGCAGTTCGCAGGCGGGATCGATCGGTCAGGTTTCGGCTTGGTCTTCTACGCGACTTACCCTTCTTCTGCAGCGGTACGGCTGCGCTGTGTCGCCGCGCTCAGTGCAGTGGCCAGCAGTGCTCGCAATCATATTGTATGGTAATCTTGATCCCGGGCCCGACCCCAGATTCGAGAGTCGAGACATCATTACAACATAATCGCTGGCAATCCAGCTATCACTATCCAACCCATATTCATGCATACCATTTTAACTACACAAATAATATGTTTAATAATCAACAACTTACCTAAATCTGCCCATTTGTTAATGTTTTGTTCGTGTTAATTTTTCCGCTGCGGCACGCTGAAGGAATGCTGAAAACAGCGGACATGAAATTTAATGTATCTACGGTGTCTCTTAATTAGGAAACGAAAAGAATTGAACATTATTTTGGAACTCGTTTCAGCTGAGGAGCCAATTAAAATAGAGGCACTTTCCCCTTCTTATAATTGCCCATTTAATTTTTTAACGTTCCCCCTTTCCTGTCTAAAAGGTGCCCTTTCCCTTCTGATAAGCGTCTCTTTCCTTTTATAAGAAGTGCCCTTCCGGCCCTTTCTTATAAGTGCCCCATTTTCACCTCTGATGAGTGCCCTATTTTGGTATGAGAAGTGCCCCTTTTAACCACTTACAAGTGCATCTTTTATTGTGACCCTGTTCCTTCTAATAAGTGCTCTTTTCCCCTTCCGATACGTGCATGGCCCTTTACAAATATAAGTTCCCCGTGTTACTTTTGATAAGTGTCCCTTTTCCTTTCTACTAATTTCCCTTTGATAAGTGTCCCTTTTACCTATACCCTTCTGGACCCTCCCCCAAATCAGTGGCCTTGTAAATTTGCATTTCTATTTGTAACCCCCCCCCCTTCCTCCCGATAGTAGTGCGCCCCTTGATCGGCCGAACTCACACAGTTCTGCCACTATATTTGAAAATATAATTATGCCCCACCAACCGACATAACTGGTTGAGAGATACTGATGATCAAAGTAGGTCAGGAACCTGTCCCAAATTAGTAATCCCATTATAATTAAGATTGGACCCCTCAAAGTTACGGAGACAATGGCCGAATGTATAGCTCCAAGCTTCTCCCGCCCCCCGCCCCCCCCCCCCCACAGACTATACTCGGGTAGATTTCACAATATGATCATGGTCATGCACCAAACTTTATCAGTATATGAAAGGCCAAGTCCACTCCTAAAATAATTTGCTTTTAATAGAAGCAGAAAAACAAGAGAAACAGAGCAAACAAAAATTGAGTAAAATCGGATATAAATCATAAGGAAGTTATGAATTTTTGAAAAAGTATGAACAAGTATGGAACAACAGAATCCCTTAAAACTAGATTTCCCCATGCCTTTGCCCGCCGGTTATATCATTTGCATTATATCGCATGCATGACATTTCACAAAATCTTTTATGAAATTTGAAGAATTGATACTATTTTCTGAATATTGTAATCATTGATTTTTTTATATAAAAAGGTTATCAAAATTCACATTTTATAATGATTTAACTGAAGAAAAAAAAACTTTGCATCCACACAAAAGCATAGTGCTATCAATATAACTTGGATGCTGGTGTGAGGAAATAGGATTTTTAGGGGGAAATTGGAAATTTATATTACCAATGTAAAGAACAAAATTAGTGGATAGTGAGGCAATGACATCACAGACTCACGAGTGAGTTGCCAATTAATTTTTGTCTTGTTATTTTCAAAGCTTTTCATGTCATTAAATATTCAAACTTTGTCAGAAGAAGAGCTGTCGACTGCACATTATAAAATATAAAAACTGACAAAATTATCCATAGAAAAGATAATTTAACATCCCCTGAAAAAAGGGAGGGAAACACTAATTAAAGTGCCCAACCGACATTTGACATTTTGCTCCGTTGGGTGGGGGGGGGGGGGGGGGGGGGGGGTAAGGTCAGCTTTGGGGGGGGGGGGGTTGCACACAAAAAAAAAAATACCAAAAAGGGGGTTAACCCCCCCCCCCCCCTCCCCTGTGTACGCGCCTGAATATGCAAGGTAAAGATAATTTTGGGTGTCGATCTGACCATTTTTTTCCCTAAAGCCGTGAAACAAAACATAACAAAACAAACGAGGGGAAACCCCTCGAACTCACGAGCGCCGAGCGCGACCCACTTTTAGTGTCATGTGACACTTTTAGGTCATCGCTATCAGCTCAGGTACTGTACTACATCATGAATTTCGTTTTGCTACTGTGTTGTGTGTTGACTAGACTGTGTTCCATCCATAAGTGCGGATGATGGCGGTGATACCAGAAGAAGGTGCCAGCGTATCTTTGTTCAGTTAGAAATCTTAAAGATATAAATTGAAAATTGCAAGCTGTCAACGTACGATGACCACTATGCTTTGCTGGAGTGACAACGGTTCCGTAACAACAACCTGACAACAACCAGTTGTTATCAAGAGTCTGAGTAAAGTATTGCACAAAACTGTGCGGCCAGAGCTATATAGCTATGACATTGTGCGGGGAGAGCAGCGAGGCTAACACGAATTCCAATGGCCAAGCTTACTACGCTCTGTTTGTTTTCACAATTTTGACTGCTCTTAACCAACTTCACAGGTGATTATAGTAGTTTAGGTTTGACATTTTGAATGGGATGAATTATGGTATTAAATTTTCATGGATATAATCCTATCTTTTGTTCTTCTTGCCTGAGTATAAATTAATGTTATCAATATTGAAAGTGAAAGTGAAATATTTATTTCAAACAGAATTAAATGGTTGATAAAAATTGTTCATTCACAACTAAACTGTATTAAGAACTTATCGAAACACAGGTAAATTTTTGCTCTAGGCCTATAGGCCTAATAATAACAGTAGTCTAATAACAAAAATAATTACATTAATAATGATAATGATAATTTTACTAATAGGCCTAACTAATGATAATATTTTTTGTAATAATAATAGTCATTATAAATATTAATGATATATCAATGATAATTATATTAATAATAATAATAATATGTCTTTTTTTTACCATGGGTAGGCCTATAGACTCATAATACTGTCTTCCCTTGGGCCCTGCACTAAAATTATCACCCTTGTTAATAATAGCTGTAATGTTATATTTATACTAATTTGAACAAATGGCAAACTTAATTACGCCGTCCACACAAAAGAAATAAACGGTTCAAACTTTTTGTGTCTGTCTAACTCTAGTTTGCGGGTTGGGTTCAAGGGGTGGAAGTTGACCCTTGATCTAGATTATGCTAATGCCTATCATTTTCATACACTATAATAGTATTTCCCCCTGTGTTATTGAAAGAGCTAATATATGGGGCATGTTTGCTTCCGAAACTCTCAAAATGCCCTTTTATTTAAAAAAAAAACTTCCTGAATTAAACTTTTTCTGTTGAATGTCAAAAATGCTATTGCATGAAATTGCAGGGCAAAATGCCCCACTGTCCTACTTGTAGCTACTTGCTCCCTCTATATAGAAAACTTCCGTAATCGGTGCCTGTTGGTCCCCCATGATCCTCTATTTCTTATGTTATTTGAGAGCTGAGTTGATGAGATAGCCACAGGTCTGTCAGTGACCTCGCTGTCTGGTATTATCCCTCCTAGCCACACTAGTGTTGATAAGCTTTACGAAGAGGCTCAGAAAAATGACATAATACAATGTATATTTTGTTTTCTTTTCAGGTATTTACTGATAGCTGCCATCGAGCCGATGTCTAACGATCTTCAGTTTGGAGACAGGAATTGCACCCCATTCAATGGAACGTCTGCCATTGATAGTTACATTCAGGAATATGACCTCAACACTACTGCTGGGGACTACTGTATGCATGACGATGGTATCAGGTAAGCTTTTGTTCTCTAGTTTTTTATTCTTATTTCATAAATTAATTAATTAATTTCAGTTCATTTTTATTTTCTCTTGTTTTTTTAAAAATCATTACAATACTATTCTTTTTCTTCTTCTTCATATTATTATTATTATGGTTTTTTTTAATATTTATTTATTGTTATTATTATTATTGTTTTTTTTTTTTTGGGGGGGGGGGATGGGGGGAGAAGGGGAGAAAAAAGGCAATGGGGTTCTAGGACAACTACCCCCTGAACTATCATCTCCTTGACAACATGCAAGTCAGGTAAAGCTACCCCCTAGGACAAGTTGTTTTTTTTTTGAGGGGGGGGGGGGGTGGGGTGGATGGGAGGGGGCCATGTGTGGCAAATCATGGGGATCAAGGCAAGTGAAGTCCCTGCCCGGCCTGTACAGGGGTCCTAAAAATTGGACATACAGATCCCCCCCCCCCCCCCCTGAAATATATAAGCAGGGCCTTGTGAACATGGATCTCTAGTATTTTGATCCAGACCCCACACAACAATAAGTTGTTGGAAGTTTTGAAAAGTGTACCAGAATGTAGAAGATACATGTATCATTACCGTAATCTCAACTTCTCACCTCTATCACATCCGATTGTTAAGGTTCAGTGGCTGTTTCCAGTTTTTTTCTGACCTTAAAGGTATTACAAAGTTTTGGTATGGGGTCATGAATTTGGTTCAAATTAACAATTTCGGAAGCATAGTGTTCCTACAATATTCATTGATCGTTGTCGCGGTTGAAATCGAGTCTAAAGTTATGAAATTATAAATAATAAACTCTTAATGTTGTATAGCTCCCTCTCAAGGTCAAGATATTAATTTAGCTATTAAACAATGTTTCTTGACTGAAATCGACCGATTAGCTATTCCCGTTTGAAAATTATATATCACAACTACATACTCTGAAATTTTCATGGTCGCAGCTACCATTGTACGGCCATAGGCGCTATTTGAAATTTATCAAAATTTACCAGGAGCACCGGTAAATGTTTATATTCAATTTTTCTCGAAAACAGAAGAGTTTTAGAGGCTAATTTTTTTAGTGCTTATAATACATCCACAGGGGCATCCAAATATAACAAAATTGTAAAGAATCACTATCCACCCAATTTTCAAAATTTCCCAAAACTTTGTATTACCTTTAATCAAATAATGATAAGGATTATCTATCAGCTCCCTCGTTCCTCCTTAGTACAGAGCTCTTAATTCTCAAATAGAATCACCGTACATAACACATTACAAAACAAAATAGGAAAAGAAAAGTAATTGAAATCATTAATTATCTAAAATTTTGTAAACAGAAATGTGGTTCCAATTTGTAATAGCATACTCTTCCAAATTGTAGTCATGCGGCTGTTACTTAATACATGTACGTTCTAAAAATTTGAATGATAAATATAGCATGCACTAGCAGTCACTCTTGTACATGGGTATGCATTGTGTACAAAGTGCACCTCTTAAACCCAATGCTTAGTACCAGGCAATGGGAGCTGATAAAGAAATAGCCAGACTCAGTAGATATTGCTGTAAAACATGAGCATGTATGTACATTGTAAATTGTGTATTTGCTGGTAAAACTGTAAGGTTAGCTCTGGTTTAAAAAAACAGCCACCTCAGATAACCAGGCCTCTTTTTATACACAATGTATTAGAGTTGCAATGGATGATTGAAACTGACATTATATTGTCAAGTTTTATAATAAGACAGGGTCGTGATCATATTGTACATTATATGCACTGTATGATTTCCAGGACAATGCAAAATGTATCTTAAAGGGCCATGTCTCCAAATATATTTTCTCTCTAAGACTACGTGCTTATAGTGGCATAAAATAAAAACTTCAATATTTGTAAAATATGTACAAGTTTTTTTTTAATGAAACTAAGGAAATAGGGAAAAGGGTGTGCTGAGTAGACTACCTGTAGTTAGTCTACCTAGCACCCAAAGGCATAGATATGTAGGGATTTTTCTTGCAATTTTGTTTACATCACGACGAGCATGGAAGTTAACTTTGAACTTTTGAAGTAAACTGTATCTCATAAATTGACTAAGTATACTGACTTTGATATAGATTGTTATTCTTGTGTACTCTGTAATAATCATGTACAGGAATATATCTAATAATACATCTATTTGTAGGTTTTGCTGAGTAGTGTTATATATGTCTTGTAATGATTTAAAAATCATATTTTCTGGATATTGTTCTCTTTATTATTGCACATTTTGAAATGCTAGTCGTTCCATGTACTTGAAGCTACATAATCGTTTTCAAAGTGCCTTTGTCTTGTATCCCAGTGCAGTCACATGTTTTCAATTCTAGGGCTTTGTTGTATCACGTAATGTGTGTGTGTGTGATTGGGGGGGGGGGGGGGGGGGTGGGGGTGGATGACGTTTATTTGTGCAGTATATGAAATGTACATTTTGCTCATTCTAGCCCATAACAATTTTTACCAAATTGAACTATTAAAGCGTTGTGTAAGTGATTAAAATAAGATGCTGATTTTGATAATGATAATGATGTGAATCTATTTATGATTAAAAATGAATCATCATTTGAATAATAATCATGGAAATCCCCAACCCTGATTACTGAAATCCTTGCAAAACATATTCTTTAAAAAGTTGAGATTTGATGACAGCTTGTGATCTTGTAAATCTTGATCTTGACTTCTGTATATAATGTAGTTAACTTTTTTTTATTGTGATGATGATTTTTTTTTCCCCTTTTTTTTCTCCATCACCCATGTACCCCACCCAGATGCACCAATGAGACCACCTTCCAAAACACAACCCTCTGTGAGTGGCACTATACCGGTACTGGATCAGAGTATGAGATCCTCGCTGGACCAGTCTTCATCATCGTCCTGGGCATCCTGGGCGTGCCGATAACCGTCCTGGCCGAGATGGGTCGCATCAATCGTCGCAACGTCGTCGGGGTGTGTACGATCTGCTGGAGCCTCACCATCGTCTGTACGGGGTTCTCGCAAACGTTGGCTGAAGTCTACGTCTGGCGCTTTCTCCTGGGGTTCTTGTAAGTTTTTAGGGTTTGGATTTTATTTTGACTGCTACCAACCACTAGTTTTTGTCAGTGATGTTGTGTTTGAAAAAAATGAATAATGTCCCTATGTGACCATTGAATAATGGTACTTTCTGTTATTAGTACTAATTAGTCATATAGCCCGTATCTTTACGCTTATCTTTCTACATGTTGCATCTCTCTCTCTCTCTCTCTCTCTCTCTTCCTAGTTCCTCCCTCCCTCTCAGTTTCTTGATCTTTCTTTCCCTCCATCTGTCTTTCTCCTTCTCCCTCCTCTCTGTCTCTCTCTGTCTCTCTGTCTCTCTGCCTCTCTCTCTCTCTCTCTTCTCTCTCATGTGTTTTCATCCTTTCCTCTTTCTGTTACATAACCAACTTTATATTGGTAACAACTAAACTTGTTTAGCAATCTTTAGCATACTAAAATAAAACTAGATTTTTTTTTTGTTCATTTGACGAGTGGTCCATATTAACGAGAGTTTTGTACCGCAAAATAATTGAGTTACATGTACATCACTTGATTCACATCACAATAGTTTCTTACTGATAACAACCTTCTGTCATGAAGTCTTTCTTGTTTTAATGTGCATGTGATCTATCTTCTGTCCATAATCGAATGCTGTATGCAAGCCTTTTATTAACCGGGCGCCGGGCGATTTTTACCCTACGGTCCCTGACTTTTGGCGCCCGGTAAGACGGGGAAAATGAGTACCGGGCGCCGGTCATTTTTTATTTCTGGCGCCCGGTCTGGGAGAATTAACATTTTCTGTTTCATAAACTTCCACATGTCTTGCAATAAATGTTCACAAATGTGACAAAAACTTACTTGATACAAGTTAAACGTGGACTGAATGAACCCTTACAAATCATTATAATGAGAATCCTAATTAAAATCGCCCAGAAACAATTGCAGCACGAATACGAGCGGCCGCTATTTCCTACTCCTAGCGGAGAACGGCACACAATACAGGGGATGTACACCACTCACGAGCGCATTTCACCAGCCCAGCCCATGCATACACACACAAATGCCATCAGTGCTGTACTGCAGTACACACACAGTGTCAGTACAAGAAAGTCTCGATGTAACTTCCAAAAATCCATCCGAAAAGCCAAATTTTGCTGTCAAAAATGCGGAACCGGAGCCATATTTCCAAAGCTCACGGGGGTTAAGCTCAGTTTTAAGAAACAGTTTCATCAAAATAGCGCTAAAAATCAAGAAATCAGCGATTTTGTTACCAGTTTTTTTGCCTATCGCATGCCCTTCGAATGTAATGGTATCTTCAAAAAAGCAAATGAAAATCAAAACACCGGATCTGCTGATGCATTGACTTTATGTACAAAGTTGATTGCAACTCCAGACTTGCCTTGATTCAGCGGCCCTCGTACTCATTGACTAAAATTCTGTGATTTTTTTAATAATGGACTTTTCTGATAAAATAGATAAATATATTTAACAAATCTTTTTTTTTAAATTTTCGAATTATTATTATATTATTATTATTATTTTTTTTTTTTTTTTTTTTTTTTTTTTTAAGTGACAGGTCTGTCGTTCTCAATGATTAAATGCGTTTTTATTCAAAGAAACATGAATGCAATAGCATTTTATAGGGAAAATAACAAAAACGTAAAACAGGCATAATTTTTTTTTTTCACCTAAAATATGTTTTTTCAAGCTGAATAATATGTTTTTTTGAAAGCGACAGGTTGGAAGCTCTGCATTGTCATTATAGATCTGGTTTTTCTTAAATATTTTTTTATAGAAATAATTTAATTCCCCCCTTCCCAACATTTTTAAATTTTTGACATTTAACGGCATGAAAATAGTATTAAACATGAACTACAACAACTACAAATGACAGATTTATCTAAGGTATGAGTGATTTAATATTAGAGTGCTCAAAATTTAAACTAGAAATTAAACTACCGCGTATGTATAAATAAAAGGTAACGTTTAACAAATAATTTAAAAGAAAATGGTACATATTTTCATCAATTTTGGAAACGGCTCCTGGTCCTGGAAAACGGCTCCCGGTTCTCTAAAAAAAATAAGGACCGGGAGCCGCTTTTTCAGATATTTGGCTCCCGGTCTGCTTTGACTTAATAAAAGGCTTGGCTGTATGGTTTCTCTCCAATTAGCGGTGGTGGTGGTTATTTTTTTTTTTTTTTACCTGGCTGCTATTCTACTCATGTGTCTGTTTTAGTTATTTTAGAAACTATTGTAACCTACATTTATGTGCATGTACATGGATAATTCCATAAATTAGGAACCCAGTTTGTGACATTTTTTGGTGTCCCTATAATACATAAGGAACCCACACGTATTTGTGGCTCTGAGTAAAGACTTAAATAATGGAGTGAGATTGTAAATTGATTTCTAAGCATAATATTGCATCCTCATACCCAGATTCACTTAACAATCATACTCCACTATTTAAGTCTTTACTCAGAGCCACTCCTTATGAAATAGGGACCCCAAAAACGTCACAAAGTGGGTCACTAAATTATGGAATTACCCACATATAATATCTCAAATTTAACACCATTTTATTGTCTCTAGTGAAGCACCTTTCAACCCTTTTTCAATGACTCTACTTGTGACTTTCTTTGGTCCAGTAAGTATAAGTTCTGAAGCCATTATTTAATTAAGTTTTCATTGAATTGTAAAAATGTTTGTTTGACTCAATAAAATAGCCTATGGAGGGCTAAAACTTTTTTTTTTTTAATTGATTTAATTAAGTGTACTGATGACTTTTAGTGAAGGTTTCAACCAGGAGCTGTTCTAGAAAGCTATATAATATATATATATATATATATTATTATATATATATTATTATTATTATTATTATTTATTTATTTTTTTTTTTTTTTGGGGGGGTGGGGCTTGTTGGTTCTGGTATTCATTTTCTACATGACATCATGTGCCTCACCTTTTTTTTTTTGGGGGGGGGAGGGGCTTGATCTCTCCCAACCCCCTCTAAATTTGATACTTTTTTGTCAAACCTTTCTTGGTGAATTGAGTCACTCCACTGATTTAAAGATAACAACGAATGTCAAATGCTTCATCCTGTAAAATTACCATCTGTAACTAAATCAATGGAGAATTTTTTTATTTCTATGATCTTGGAATTAATTTGAACTTAATGAATTGAATTCATTTTGTTTAGTAATTATTGAATAATCACTGTTTTTCATTACTTATTGGCATTAAAAAAAAATGTTCAACATAGTTTAGTTCAGATGAAAGACTTGTAATGACAGCAATGCAATAAAAGAAAAAATACAGTTGTTACCCATCTAAAGAAGAATTGAGCAGGGGAAAAATAACACTCTTTAATTTGTTTTGCATTGAACTCTATGCAAATTTTTTGGGGCTCTTTTATGACTTTCGGGGGCTCTTTTGGGCATTTTGGGGGCTAATTTGCCCCGAGCCCCCATGCATTTTTTTCACTGGAATTGAGCTCTTAGATAATGCCTCTGCCGAAAAGGTTGAGTTTCATTTCCATGACTCAAGATTACCTCTCATATTTGATAGTGTCAGACTCAACAAGGGCTGGTTTTGGGCGTGGCTGCTACCGGGGCAAATATAGGGTATATTTTCTTGCCCAATTTAGCACACACTTTGAAGCACAACAGATTTTCAAAACCCTTCTCAAAACTTGCCCGTTTCTTATGTAATTTTTTACATTGCATTTAATTAATGAATCATAATTAAATATGTTACTCTAATTGATTTTTCATAAATATTTGCTATCTGTATTAACTTTGCTCTTAATAAATTAATGTATTTACATGTCTTTACTTTAAGGATTTTGTATTCGTTCTTGTAACAGTAAAATATACTTGTACATGCTTATTTTTTACTTTGTAAAGCGCATAGAGAAACTTCTGTTTATTATGCGCTTAATAATTAAATCAATCTTTATTATTATTATTATTAAAAATTATTTATGAAAATCTTTCACAAATGTGGCAGCTTAGAAGAGGTTTAGAAAATTTCCTTTAAATCCCTACCGCACTAGTTTGGCCAGGAGGGATTAGACCTCCCAGCATGGTCACTGACAGGTGGTTATCTCATCCATAAGCTCTCAATTAACATAAGAAGAAAGGGATCATGGCCAAGGGACCAATGGTCACCGATTGGGCATCGTTTGCTATATAGAGGGCGCAAGTAGCTATAAGTAGTGCAGTGGGGCTTAAACACCCTTACTTTTCCATGGCTGATTGCATGATTACCTCCCACTTTTGTTTCGGCAGAGGCGTCGAGGGCTTGCTATGGGTGTGGCCGCTAGCGGGGCGTATCTAGGTTACGGTTCGTCCTATGCTTTCATCGCAGTCGTCAATGTAATAGGATGGAGATGGACCTACATCTCTACCGGCATAGGGGGCGCTCTGCTTGGTTTGATAAGTCTTATCACCGTCAAGAATCCATATTCAAAGGAAAAGGTAGGCATTCTTTGTGTGGGTCAAGCATGCTATCCATAAGGACGGCTGATATTCATAAGGACCATTATTCATAAGGACCACTATCCATAACGCGTGACAAAATGAATGGCGATTCATTATGAATAGTGGTCCTTATAAATAGCGAGCAGACCCCCTTTGTGTTTCTGTGCCCAATGTATTCTTTAAACCTTATACATGATGTTTTTATCAACAACTAAATGTGTTTATGTTTATCAATCCATTGCATATGGTCCGGGTGCATGGTCCCTGCAATAAGATATGGGGAATGGAGTATTCTGTATTCAGCAGGTTGACTAATACTTGCAAGTCACATTGATCTTATTTCATGTGTCAGCGGCATTGTGCTGCGTTGAGCTGCGTTGAGCATTTCCATGTACATATAAATGATACAGTGTTGACCTGATGACTTTTGCCTATGTTTTATTGCTAATCAACTTATATTAAATCAATGTCAATAGGATGGAGTAACCATAAACAGCACCCCAATTCATATTGTATGGATGGTAAAAATTAATTATTCTCTATTTCAGAGAAATATACTGTTCAACAGGATTTTGGAAACTTTAGTTTTGTATTAAAAAGTTGTAGCCCTCACCTCTAAATTTGATATATTTACATTTAATTGTGAATTATGGATATATAAATCTTGTATAAGAAGGCCATTGTGTATAACCTTTAATTCAGTCAAATAACTGTACTATTTTTACTCTCCTAGGGAAATATACCCCTTGGGTCGGTGCGCAACATCCTGAAGGCACTTGGTGCGGAACCCTGGTCGGTGCTCTCACCCATCTTCCTAGCCTTCGCCTGCAAGATGGGTTACCAGTACACCCTCAGTTATAACCTCAATAACTACTTTGTGGAGTACTTCCCAACCTTCCCGACGGACGTGTACCTGAGCTGGATCCTGGCTCTGACGGGGATCCTGGCCTTTATGCTCGGGGGCTTCCTGAGTGACATCGCAGGCAAGCGGGCAGGGGCCTTAGGGAGGCTCTGGACCATCGTCATCCTGGAGGTAGGTTCTCCCTTTCAGATCAATGGGCTCTTATTCATGTAAGTTAACCAGGGGGTGTTTCACAAAGATCCTAAGTCGAACTAAACTCTAAATTGGACTTAAACATTATGGAGAGCCATTGCAGCCTTAAAATGAAATATATTCAAAAGCAAAAATTAAAGTATTTTAAACATTTCCACATATACATAATTGATGTGTTTGCACACTATTCTCTGTATTGTATGAGGTCATTGAAGACAAAACCATCATTTCAAATTAACTTTGTTTTCTCACATTCTATTTCTTCTGTTCCGACCATCAACAAGTGATGATTTTTCTTGAACATTTTCTCTCTACCTTAATCCATGTGCTTGTTCCCCAGGTGATACAGATACCCCTCTATGTATTCTTCATCCTCCTATCACTACCAACCAACATCATCCTGGGTGCCCTCGGGATAACCGTGGGAGACGGATGGAACGGCATCGGTCTTTCAGCCATCGCCGACATCGTCTCCCCGTCCATCCGCACTGTCATCTACGCTCTTTTCTTCTGCGTGATGGATGTTATCGGCGGGTGTGTCATCGTTGCCGTGACGCCACTGACGGACGTGGCTGGATTGAAGAGCGCCCTCTTGTGGTTGGGGACGGGAATGCTTGTGGGAGGCACCCTGCTGATTTTGTGTGGGATTATAGCCCTGGTGTTGCTTAATCGTCGTCGAGCCAGGAGCTACCACTTGGAGGGGACGGAGGAGGACGCCCTCTACAGTCGAAACGGTAGCCAGGGTAATCATGAAAGGACACCTTTGATTTCTGATGAAAGCACTCCCACATAGGATCAGTTGTTAACTTGAATTCATTGCATTCCAACAATAACACATCAAAGATAAACTTGAATTCTGGTAAAAAAGAAAATGAATTCTCACAGAATCAAACAAAACTTACACTGAATGTTCAAGATTAAAATAAATGTCATTTGCCAAACAATTTTGGTAGAAAATGTATACTGGCTGACTAATGGGCAAAGAAAGATACTATATACATCTTTCTATGTACAGTGCTTGTTACTTTACCAAGACTGGGCCAAATTTATTATGATTTTGATGACTCCGGAACCTTGCAGTACATACCAATACTAACGTGCTACATGATCAACTTTTTCTGATCCATTCCACACCTTTTCTTTCACAATGCAATCGCATGACCAGAACTCAACTATCTTTAAACTAATATATTATAATAATAACAATAATAGCTACATTTATGCTTTGCTCAAATCTTTCCCACCGGATTCTCAACATGCCTACAAAGTACTATTTTAACATATATAACACTAGATTTGGATTTAACCCAGATTTCCTAATGTGCTGAACCCATTCAAGGAATAAGTTCCTACCATCAGGTACCCATTTACTACATTGGATGGAGTGGCAATTGTACATGCTCACATAGATTAATGCCTAATTGCCACAGCAGGACTTGAACTGAGATCCATGTGATCCACGGTTGAGTGACATATCCTCTAGACCATGAACCTCTGATGAATGAATGATTATGATGATTGTACAAACAATGAATAAATGTGCTTTGTGAGTGGGTAATGCACCCCTATACAAATTTCAGTACGCTTACACGCGAGCTCGTCAGCGTGCTCGCCAACGAGTTTGTTGACGAGCAAGCAGACGAACTCGCCAGCGAGCTCGTTTCGTTCCAAATATGCAAATTAGCTACGAACTCGTTGGCGTGCTCGTTGGCGAGCTCGTTGGCGTGCTCGAAATATACACGCTCGTCACTGGCCAATAAGCTCGTTGGCGAGCTCGTCGGCGAGTTCGTCAACGAGTTCGTCGGCGAGTCCGTCAACGAGTTCGTCGACGAGCTCGTTGGCGAGTTCGTCGACAATCTCGTGGAAAAAATGGCTGCACGCTTTATAATGGCGTGCTTAACAGCAGGTTGGCATTGAGAACAAATTTGTGTCTACATATAGAGGTGAACTTGATGATCCTGTTGAGCTATTGGCAAGCATATATATATATTTATCTAACTTATCAGCCTTTCAATATCCTGGTAACATCTGCAGGCTGGCCATGCAAGGGCAATTCAGTTGGCTAGCTGGTGAAAAATACAGTGATACTCTTAGGGCAATTTAAAAGCTCATTACTTCTGGGATATCAATCAATTAAATCACTAATATATCAAAGAACAGAAAGAAAAGATATAACATAAAATGTAACTTAAAACAAGTAGCTCTTTATTAGAGTCAATACAAACCCTGTATTATGCATGTTACCTGTATGCAGGGTTCACAACTTCACACGACAATATGAATGAATAAATGATTTCCAAATTATATAATTACACTGTATAATGAAATTAAATATGTGAGTAATTACACTGTATAATACTCTGCCTTTGAAGAAATATTATTATCCATTTTGGTAATTATTTATCCATCATTCTAATCACTCATAATATTACAAAGATTCAAACTTATAAAGCGGTATTCATACAATAACTATGTATCATCCCCCCTTTTTGTCAGTGTATTCACCAACCCAGGGTACCAAGTAATGATACATGTACACTATAGGATCTCTAGAACAATCCCTTCTTTATATCCGCTAGCAAACTAGTTTTCAGTATTCAGACCAAATGCATTCTTGTGCTCTCAAGTCTCATGTTGCCTAAAAGGTAGGGTTTGTCATTCACGATACAGAAATGTTTACATGAATATAACCTTATCACATAGATATCTAATGTTACTTTATTGAAGTGAATATACTATGTGCTAGATAGATAAACAAAATTCCCAATATATGAAAAGATATCTCACTAGAAAGAGAATGAATACATTATCTCATTAATCATTACTCTCTACACTTCTCTTTCATAAATGTATAAGAGAGGTAGGCCTAACTGTTGGCCTACTCTTATTATAAATACACAATAGAACATTTAGTTAAAAGGTGTGAGAAATTAGTTTTTCTCTTACCTAAAACAAAGGAGCTGCAACACCATTCAAAACCCATGTCTGCTCTCCACAACAGCAAGATAGAAAAAGACTTGACCAAATGGGCCTAAATCAATTCATTCTTATCAGGAATGCTACCAGTGGTAATTCCACAAGAGAGAGTACACAAGAAAGTGAGAGAGGGGAGAAGAGAGGAATAGGGATTTGTGTCTAAGCAGGGGGGATCCTTTGTACATAAGGAGAGAGCAAGATAGAAACAGGGAGTTGACCTCGAATCAAGCACTGGGTGTGTGGTCTTATGTAATACCTGATAGTGACATTTCAGGGTGTTAAATATATGATACAGTCAGAATAATGGCACCCCCTTCCCAATCTGGTATGCTGCAAATAAATGTTTCAAAGTTTCAAAAGAATTTAATTAAATTTACAAGAAATTTGACAGGTTACTTCAGCATGAAAAAGCTATTGTTTCAATTTCAACATAAATTTTCTGAACTTTCAATGTAATTGCATATGTGTATTTTTATGATACTGGAGAGATTTCACCATGGATATTTCAGATCCAAGTATGAAAATAAAAGAGTATATTCTATGGTGATAATTTTGTCCATGTCTTAATGCAGATATGTAGTGGAGATAACTTAAATAACGTTGTGTTTCAAAACCCTGGGTTTAAATTTTTATGTAAGGTGAAACCCATTTTTTGCCATTTTTTAGGACGTACACCAAAACGTGACATGAAAAAACCTAGTTCCTGGTAATGAGTATTCTCTAAATTTGTATGACTATCTGATGTTCAATTATTGTCTGGTAGTAAGTGCTGAATCTATTCATGATCATGTCATTAATAATCTTAGGTTGCGTGGCAAAGTTTTTTTCATAATCACCATATTTCACATCTTGTAACAGTTGTTATGCATGGTGTCCACCATGCAACACGCGTTCCATTTGGTGCTTCTGCATGATGAATGCACATTATATGAACAACTTTGACAATTCCCAGTTTATTTCTTGGAAGAACTCCATGAATCAAATCAATTAAAAAAGATGAAAATTAAAAAAAGATGAAGCTTAAAATGTTATAGTTAAAAAAACAGCACATGTTTGAAATTCTAAAAATTCTTTGGTGTCCACCCATAACATGCGTTACCGTATATGAAAAATACAAAATACAATTTTGTTAAGAAAACTTCATTTATAATCGTTCTAATCTTTCACAAGAAAGGCTTTCTACATTGTGTATATAAAATTCATTGAATTGTTCAATTTTGAATCAAATAGATATTTTTTTAAAAATTATGAAACTTTGGTGTCCACCCTAGAGGGCTGGGTTTACCAGTTTAACCCTGAGTTTGCCACGAGCTCCCCCTTTTACCCACGAGCTCGCCACGAGCTCCCCAGTTTACCCCCGAGCTCCCCAGTTTACGCCCGAGCTCGCCACGAGCTCCCCATTTTACCAACGAGCTCGTCACGAACTCCCCCTTTTACCCACGAGCTCGCCACGAGCTCCCCCTTTTACCCAAGAACTCGCCACGAGCTCCCCCTTTTATCAACGAGCTCGTCACGAGCTCGCCACGAGCTCCCCCTTTTACCCACGAGCTGCCCAGTTTACCCGCGAGTTCGCCACGAGCTCGTGACGAACTCGTTCACGAGCTCGTGAAGATTTTGTAAGATCGTTACTAGCGTCCTGGAAGTGTGTTACGAGCTTAAAGCCTAAAAATCGATCTTATTAAGCTTACCACGAGCATAATACGAGTTCGCGATGAACTTAAATTTGTATAGGGGCAATGAACATCTAACCAAAAAATATTTGTATATTGAATTTCATAGAAGTAATTTATTTTATATATTCCATGCTATTTAACATTTTGGCGGCCTTAAAGTGAATATTAATAATCAATCATTGTTAAGTATATATTATACTACATGAATACATATGCTAATACATGTACTACATGTATAAAATGGATGTTAAATACCCGGTACATTTTGTCAAATAATGATTTATAATTATATAAGTATATACAAGTACAGTTATAGTTATTATATATAATAGTATATAAGTATAAGGTTACTATGTTCGTGTAATGGTGTTTGTAATAAAAGCTGCATTTATAATGAGGCTATTGCCATCCAATGGTTGATCAAGCTGCCTGCAATATACTTTTGTTAACCTAACTAAAAGCCAAGCTGCCCTGTTGCACTGAAATAATTCTAGGAATTACTTCTTAACAGTACCCCTCCCTACCTTTGGGTTGAGAGTAGCAAATTTAGATAATGTTTTACCAAATGAATACAAAAACTGCCAGTATAAACAGGGAAATAGATATTATGAATTTCACATCACCACTGATGTGATAATAATAATGAAAATTCTTATATAGCCCATACTAATTCGTAGAATTCTCTATGCACTTTAATTTTTTTAAACAATAATGTTTATTTATTTTCACCATAAGATAATTGTTCCCCGTTTTCTCAATTATGAATAAAGAGATGGAAAAATCATGTGCAATTCTAATGCTAGTAGATAAAAAGATAAAAACAATTCCAATAGTGCAATTAATTATTTTTTTGTTATTGTTATGTTCGCCTTATGATGAATCATGATGCTGTATGTTCCACATAATCCAACTCGTAAAGTACTGACTTGGCATAGTGCATGTGTATATATAACAAAAACAATATTACCAGTCTAATATGTATTTGTATAATTTTATTGTATAAATTTATTGCATATATTATCACTGTCATCTGTAAGACTTATATGTATCATGTTATTTATCAGTATCATGTTAATATCATTTCATATGTAAATGCATGCTCATTGTTAACATCACTTAGAATAATTGATATTGTTTTTACTTGTTATAGGTGTGTGCAAACATTATTCATGTAGCCTATAAGTAATCTTGAATATGTGCATGACGCAATGGGGGCAAGGAGCACTATATTTTGTTTCTTCCCAATTTGTGAGAAAATATTTAGCGGCCAATAAGCGGAGGGGGGGGGGGGGTGGGGTGGGTAAACACTAATTATTTTGTTTTGCTTTTTTCTCTCACCCGCCCCCCCCCCCCCACATTGAGCAAAAAGGTAAATAACACATTTTTATTTGGGGGGGGGGGGGGGTCATAGATAAAACACAGATAAAGGGTGTTTCTATAATTCTATAATTTGAACACCCAAAACAACCCCCCCCCCCCCCCTCATTACGCCAATGTTCGTGCACATATAATGAAATGTTGAGTGTCACATGACACCTTTTCAGCCAATAGCAAACTCACTTACAAATACCATATTTGATTGTAAAATGTATTTCTTTTTATATTGTGATGATATAAGGTGCTTGAATCTTGAATGCCTGCAAAGTAAACAAGATACATACATGTATTTACATGTAGCTGCCATACCATTTCATGCAATAATATATTTTTAAGAACTTTTTTTTTTAGAATTTTTTTGATTTGAAAGATGTTTATGATATTACAATATGTGAGCTGCCATATTCTATGCACTTTGACACCTTATATGTTTTATATGTTTGTTTGTAGTAGAGGTTTTGTTTGGATATATTTCCTCTGAATTGCAGTAAAATCTCACTTCACACATGACTTTTTTTTGTTTATGCCTGATTATACCAAAGCTATGTTTTTAAAGATTTTTAGAATTATTAAATTTATCATTGAAATTTAAACATTTTTCTGAAATATAGAGTGCATTGTGTAATATTTTATATTTTTAAATTATTGTTGTATTCCAATACACTGAGTTGCATAAAGAATGTTTTAATGCTTACATTATGAAGTCCTTATCTTTAAAAGAATATATGTTTATATGTTTATATGTATGACTAATAAAAATGAATTTTATATAAATATAATTTTATTACAAAATAAATGATTTTGGATTCATTATAATTTGGAAAGTGTCACTTTTGTGGTTTCTTAAACGTAGCCTCCAAATTTTCAGGAATATGTACCAGCAGCTAATTAACTTAACATTATAGAGAGGCTTGCTGGGTATCTGGGCCAGGGGCGTACGCGGGGGGGGGGGGGGGGGTTTGGGGTTCAAACCCCCCCCTTTGGTATTTTTATGTGTGTAAACCCCCCTGAAAAAACCCAAAACCCCCCCCCCCCCTTTGGGTTTTGTTTGTTTTGTTTTGTTTTTTTAATTATATAAAAAAAATTAAAAAAAATAAAAAAATTATACCCTCGGTTAACCTAAAAAAGGTGACCTTACCCCCCCCCCCCCCCCCCAACGAAGAAAAATGTCAAATTTTGAAATTTCGAGACCAAAAAAAAAAAAGTGTCCGCTTGCCCCCCCCCCCCCCCCCCCCACTGAGCGACTTTTCGGTTCGTTGCGATTTTTTTTGGACTCCCCCCCCCCAAAAAAAAAAGTGTCTGCTTACCCCTCCCCCCCCCCCCCCCCCACTGAGCGACTTTTCGGCTCGTTGCGATTTTTTTTGACTCCCCCCCCCCCCAAAAAAAAGTGTCCGCAAACCCCCCCCCCCCCCCCCCCTTGAAAAAATCCTGCGTACGCCCCTGATCTGGGCTATGTGTCATATGTACTGAAATTAACTATCTTTGTGTTCATAACCCACATTAGATTCCTAGTATGCTTTCTGCTAGTACCTTAAATCCCCACTGCACTGCTTACAGGTACTTGCGCCCTCTATATAGCAAACAATGCCTATTCGGTGACTATTCATTGGTCTCCCATGGTCCCCTTTTTCTCATGTTAATTGAGAGCTGATTTGATGAGATAGCCACCTGATAGTGACCATGCAGGGAGGTCTTATCCCTCCTGGCCAAACTAATGCAGATAGGCTTTAAACAGAGACCAAATGAACCCTTCTTTGTGTTTGGAAGATAGCCGACATGACCCTTGATGAAAGTGCCGTCTGTTTGGAGCCAGAAGGGCATTAACTTCATATACTTTTACACAGAATTAATTCCTTCTGAATCTCATCAAAAGATTTTTGTATTTGATCTTGGCTATGTTAACCATTTGCGATGGGGTGAAATGAATAATTTTAGGGGCAAAAAACCCTGTCCCATTAGCTTATTTTCTATGTTTTCACCCGTCCCTCCATTCCTATCAATATACGACTGATAGTAGGGTTGGAGGAGGTCAGCCTTCAGACTCAAAACTCAAGCAAAACATTTCATTCAATATGGGAGTTTACAGATACAATTTGCGCATGGGCAGATAAAGGTCATTTGTACCAAAAAGGTAAAACCCACAGAGATGAATACTGGATATGCGCTCATGAAAGTTATGTAACATTATTCATTTATGCACCAACGGTACATTCTATGATACGCAGGTGGAAGTATTCTTTTCAAGAGGGCAAACAAAAGGTATTCATGAAGCACATCTAGGACTTTGGCGGTTATTATTCTAATATGCTCAAAGTGGAACTTCTCCATGTGTAAAAGATCTGTGGATATTTGGGGTCATTTGTACCATGTGCTATCTGTAAACTCCCTTATTGCCCCACCATCAATAAGAAAGGAACTGTCTGCCCAGCGATATGTCTAGTCGATTGTTCTGAATACATGCCTGATGATCGCTCGCAAGGCGTGAAACTCGGATTAGCAACCATGTTCCATTAGTCTGCCTTATTCAATATTTGGATTACGAAAACTAAAAAAGTAACATATTCCATCTCCCCATATCTCCCACCCACCTCTCCGGTATTCTCTCTCTCTCTCTGCCTCTCTCTCTCTCTCTCTCTCTCTCTCTCTCTCTCTCTCTCTCCATCTTTTTACACTTCTTTCCTCATGTTTTCTCAACTGACCTAAAGATAAAACCAACAAAAAATGTAACAAAAAGTGAAGGAAATATTTTATACAGCAATTGATGATGAATTGAAGAAAAAACTTCCAATCGAACAAGAGGAGCAAATTCTGACAAATTTTAGATAATGTATTCTTGCGGATTAGGTTTTATTCAATCCCAGTACATATACGTAGAATACAAAACTCCGATACAATTTTCTCAGATCACAACTCAATATTTACAAATACTGATCTTCTCAAAGCTAGTGATTATGTACAATATTCTGATATACCGAGAAGATATCGTAATCACAATTATATTTCAAAAGTCCGAGAAAACAATTCAATAATAATAATGGTCATAAACAGATCGTGGTTATGCGAAGTCATCTATTCAAAGTCATCTATTCAAATTCTCTCTCTCTCTCTCTCTCTCTCTCTCTCTCTCTCTCTTTCTCCCCCCTCCCCCTTCTCTCTCTCTCTCTCTCTCTCTCTCTCTCTCTCTCTCTCTCTCACACACACACACACACACTCCTGACATTTTTTCCTTTTGTCATATAAATACATGTACAAGCAAATATGTAAACCATTTTATATACATAAATTAACAGGATACAAAATGAATGATACCATTAGAGAAATCTGCATGACTGATGATGACTATGTTGAAAAAGAGAATAAAAAAGAATAGATATCGGTTGGAGCAATCATCAAACTATGGCATGCTATCAAACTGCATCTCTCACTTGGGCCTGCTCAAAAATCAAATATATTTTATTTAAAAAAACAATAAAACGAACTTTAACAATGATGGCGCTAGAGCACGAACCATTCGCTCGATCGGGACACTGCCGATACTGGTTATTATGGGAACAAACTTTCGACCAATCAGAGAAGCGTATTTGTTCGACAATCGTAAGTTTAAAGATTTAACACATAGAAGAAACTTATGCAAGGAATGAGGTCACTGCGCCTACCAAAATTAGGGTTAAATATTCAGATAAAACGATATCAACATTCACAAACCCCTTGAGAGGACTTGTAGCATTATAGACAAACTGATTATACAGATGGGTCATATTATAATTCTTGTTCGTTCTACTGTGTTCGATGGTGTGTCAGTCTCCGCGAAAATGATGGACGCGTTCACAGAACATTTGCAGATTGATTATGATGACCATTATTGACAGTTACGATTGCCCGACCTATCGTTGTATCAATCTAAAGCTCCTGATTTATGATATTTCAGTGTCTTTTCTACCATAATATACTAAAACAGTAAGTTGAGATGGTCATACGATGACGGTGATGTTACTTTAGCTTGTTGTAAGAGCTACGGTGTGATGAAAGCCTGAAGCCCGAGAGCGGCGGCATGCTGGCGAGCCTTCAGCCTGAGATCAGCAATACTCGAACTCTTGCTCGAACTGGTCACCGACGCCCCTCGAGCCAGCATCGACCCCATAAGCGTGGCGAGCGGGAAGGCGTAGGGAGGCGGTGGAAAGAACATGAACGGCGGTGCGTGAGCCAGTAAGGATGGCGGCGGGAACGGGGCATGGTGTGCCGCGGTCGCGGGGATGGTCCGGTGGGGCGAGAGGGGAGAGGCGATGGAGGACGGGGAGGAGGCGGAAGGCGCGGAGGGGGATTTGATGTTGAGTTGAAGTTGTTCTTGGACGCGTTCGAACGGCATTCGAAGGGACCCCATGCTAAGATACGGAGCTACCCGACAAGTGTCGACTGATGCGCTGCTACCAACAGGAGTACCTGAAATGATACAATAAATACATAAACTTGTTATTTATTGATATTGATAATTCTGATCAAGAAGAAGAGTAAGTCAGAAGGATGGGAAGGGGTGAAAGGAGGAGGGGCATGGGGAGGTTTTATTAGGAGAGGGGAGGAGGAGGAGGATGAGGAAGAGGATGGAAATGAAGATGATAATAATATAAGGTTGATTGTGATTTTGCTCAGGCTGATGACGATGACATGGTGGTAAATGATGAGGAGGATTGACGAAACAGAGGAGGGGAGAGCTAAGAAGGAGGAGGGAAGGAGGAGGAGGAGGAGGAGGAGGAGGAGGAACCGAGGGCGGATGCAAGTGGTGGTAGTGGGGCGGTGAGGGCGATGATAGAGATGAGGAGGAGGAGGAGGCTGATGATGGGGGTGATTGATGATGATGACGATGGTGATGATATTGACGATGATGACGATGGGGTGATGATGAGATGATAAGGGTAATTATGAGGAGGATGAAGTAGTGGCGGGGCAGCTAGGAGGGTTAGGAAGAGATGAGAAGAAGGAAAGTGGTGAAGATTAGGTGCTGGAATGGAGAAGGAGGAGGGGACGGAGAATGGTAGGGATTTAGCTGTGGATGGTGAGGATGCTGTGCATGGTGACGACGATTATCACCATCATCAAGAGAAGAGGAACAAGAAAAAGATTCTTGATGGATAAAGGGGAAATGAAGAAGATATGCAGAGAAAGAGAAAGTAAAAGAAATCCGAAATAATGAGATTATGATCAAAAGTAGATGCCAGTATGATAAACCGATGCGGGTGGCGACAAAACAAATAGAAATAACCAAAGTGCGATATGTTTTTTGAAAATAGAAATAATCAAAATGAAGATAAGATTATTATCATGATTATGGAAGAGCAGATCTCACAATGGGAAAGATTTTTTTTTTAAATAGTAAAAAACAGTTGACAGTCGATGCGAAAGATTTCACTTAGAAGTTGAAACAAAAACTTTCATATTAAAAATGGTTAAACCTTAAAATGTTGCTTTCTTAAGCCGTTCAGAATGGTTATTACTGAAAAGTGAAAATTGGGCTAATCCACTTACTTAGAATAGCGACTATATGATAATGACCAGACTAGACTAATATGATCAGGAATTCACCTCTCTTTATTCCATTTACCTTTATTCTCTCACCTCTTATCCCATCCCATCTCTCTCTCCCTCTCTCTCTCTCTCTCTTTCTCTCTCTCTCTCTCTCTCTCTCTATCTCTCTCATCCCTCTCTCTCTCTCTCTCTCTCCCTCTCATCCTCCTCCCTCTCCCGTCCTTCTTCCCCTCACCATACCCTTCTAATCCTCTCCCCTTCCTCCTCTTCATATCTGCTCCCCAACTCTTCTTTTATCCATACATATTTCCACAACCATGAAAAACAAACTGAAACAATTTCCAACACAGGCTACGGAAAACGGCCCCAATCTTCTACGCTGCCTCAATCGCGGGGTGTAACATAATTTCGCTCCCTTCATCCCGTCATCCAACTCACTTTAGGGGATGAAAATCGGATTAGCAGAGCCCCTCCCGTGTCGTCCTCATCAGTTGCGTAGCCAGACATTCGCTTCTAGAGGGGCAAAAAATTCGTTCCCCACTCCAGAAAGCAAACTAATTTTGACCCTGGTTTTCGTACAGTTCAGGAGGGGAGGGGGGGGGGGGGGGGTATCGTCCAAAATGTTTTGGTGGGTGAAGAAAAAGCAAGTGTTCTGAAAATGTATTTTTCTACGTATGCAATCGAACACTTTTGACTTTAATATTACTATGGTGACAATATATTTGTTCTTAATTGGAAATCTTTTCGGAGGAGCAAACTGCCCCCTTGCCCTTGTCCCTCCTTCACGTACACTGGTGATCCTCATCACTTAGATGTAATCTAAGGATTTAAGCTTGTCACACACCATCTTATAATCTGAGAATTTCTGCCCCCATTTGCGCGCCGACTGGGTTGGGTAGGTGATAATACGCGTGACTATAATACCCGTCGAGCGCGATGATAACGTATTGCGTACGCCTGAGTTCGTGCGACGTCGTCATCCCTAATGTCTTTGTTTATTGGGCGTGTAAAAAAGACACCAGCAATATGTCATAGCTTCTTGCTTTCTTTGGAGACAGCTCGAGTATGATATCGCGATTGAAGTCAATATTCAAAGAATATTATATGAAAAAGATAAAATGACTGAAGATTGACGATCAGATTCATATACTTGAAAATAAATAATTGTTGCCGCCTAAAGTATTATTTTATACAAGTCGTTGGTCCAAATAATGATAAAATGCCGCCATCAAATCGCACCAAGGATTTTTATGAATGTTCGATTCACATTATTGATAGCTTAAACACTAATCGGTCATTATTTGAGTTACACACTATGAAACCATGCAATAGTTGGCAATTATTGAAAACAAATGTGTCGTGGTACAGTGGATACGCGTCTATGCTGTGGATCACAGGGTTCTCGGTTCGAGTCCCGGCGCGGTAATAATGTCTTTTGGAAAGACATTAATCTACATTTGCAACTCTACACCCAGGTGAAGGTACCCGTAGGAAGAAATTCCTTGCATGCCTTAGCGCTTAATTATATAGCCTTTATCCTATATCTTGAAACATTTGTACATATCTTATTATTGAAATGGTAGCAAATAGTGTGATTAATGCAATTTCATTGTTTTAACAAATGAACAATAAATAGGCAATGTAATGACAAAGAAAATGAAATCGTTCAAAACTTGAGGTTGATAAACATGTTAAAAGACATTAAACAACTCCTGTAACGTTATTTGGCATGTGTGAGCAATATACTGTTACAGCATCAAACTTACATTCTTTTCTCCACCATGACACGTGTTAGAAGTAATTAATGGAAATGCGAAATTGGGAGAAGAGACGCATTAAAGTGACATACATTCGGCAAAAGAGAACAATCTACATGGATTAGTGAATGAGGCGTAGATTCTAGACTATTTAAAAACCATTCAAATCAGAGTTATAGAGCAGCCATTGTGAATAACCACAAGTCTATTCACAAACGAACAATAGCCGTCGGTAAAGAAAATTTTCTCGCTGTTTCATTGAGGAGAAGTGAGAAATGAAACGAAAAGGGGAACGTCTGTGAATAGTGTATACAGAGGAAAAGGTAAGAATTTAGGCACAGACGGGGGACAATAATTGTCACCGAAATATGAGAAGGGGTGCAGTGTAATTCATGTGTAGCAAGCGGTGATTTGAAAAGGGTAGGCACGCGTATGTGTGCCATGTTTTCGGGCGATTTGGGTTGCCCCATCTTGCAAAAACCTCGCGGTGATTATTATAAGCGACGCGCACGTTAGCGTTTATTGAGCCGAACATAATAGGGTTTTTTCAAGAAAAACGAAGGAATTAACCAATGACGGATGTCCCCTCAGGTCAATACTCACTAATTTTCGAACGTTTCTCTTTTATCACATTTTATTCACTTCAAACGACAGTAGTTAGAACGAAATACGTAGCTTAATGATCATCCATTAAAGAGGACATCATCATTTTTCCAAGAGAAACATTTAAGTGAGGGAGACTCCGTGAATTCAGAGGTAAAATTGAAGAAATAGTATATTATAAAGATAATAACATCGTGAAAATAATAGTCATGAAAATAGATAACAATCTATGAGAAAAAGCTGACCTCGATGTTGGGTAGATATCAACGTGATTCTTTAAAGGATTTTGTGAATATAACATCACTGCATACAAATATTTCTACCTTTAACCAAATATTTTTTATGATCGGTTAAAATAAAGCAACCTACAAACCTATTATCCAAAGTAATCTAAACATTATGTCAATAAAGTATTGGCAAAACGAAAGTACACGTATTGCTTCCGTTTCAAACTATAATGTTCGAAACTAAATACGCTCATCGACAAACGGAAAGTTCGATTATTTAACCAAATTTACTATAAAAAAAAATTTTTTAAAAAGGAGGTCGCCTCTTCAGTAAGATTTATAATCATTTACCCCCCCCCCCCCCGATTTCGGAGATTGTTCCTCTGAAGCCATTTGTGTAGAAACCTGTGGGAAATCATGCCATCTGTTATTTGACATGTATATATTTAGGACTTTCGATTGATTCGAACTGATTATCAAATTGCCTTCAAATAACAACCCACGTCACAAAGCTATTTTCGATTACCGATTAAGATGTTTGGGTCCAATATCATTGTCGTCCAAGTGCTATGCTCTTAAAAGTATCGGGAGAAAATGCCGAACATGAATATTAAGAAGTTACGTGTCCGACCAGTTTTTAGCGATTATGTTCAACTTGAGTAATAATTTGCCGGATTCGGAAATTTATTTTGACCACAATGTGGCAAAATATTATCTGTTGTATAGTCTTCTCCTTTAATTGCTATTCACAAAAAACATGGTATTTATTATCACAACTTAAACAAGAATATTTCATAAACAGTATAGTTAATGTTTATTTTGTATATCGCATAATATTTATGGGTATTTCTCTCTTTTCGTGTGGTTAACGCAACATTTTACCACAAGTCAGAGCCGCTACAGAAAAGGGTTATCAATTCTCTTTCCAATTGGAGGTAAATTTTGCCCAGGATCATCATATAGCCGCATCAGAATTAACACTGCTGGCCCTGCAGGTCTTGCAATACCATTACTCCTCACTGTCAGTTATCCATTAAATCACCTGGGTCGAGAGGAACATAATAATGTGCACCTTGTCCGAGGTTGTCAGCACATAGCAACGATCAACTCGGGATCTCTCGGATGAGACCCAAGAGCCGCCACGTTGGCCATGCATGCCGGGGATGCAGAAAGACGTCAACTCATAATAATTTTACACAGAGTAAACTCATGTAGTATGTGTATGTGTTTCTGTTAATGTTTCAGATGCTTTTGTTTTAATTTCTGATTAAAAAAACAAAGAGCACAATCATTAATCTACTCGTTACAAAATGTCTGAAAACTGTATTATTTTCTTCAAGTTAAACTTGAACGTTTCATACAATAACAATAGTAGTGAAAATTGGATCACGTAACAGAAACTAAAAAATCCTGAAGGTTTTTTATCACAATCCCAATCGAGTTTAGCTAGGCCTATCTGCTTAAACTTTAACGTTTCATACAATAATAATAGTAGTGAAAATTGGATCAAGTAACATAAACTAAAAAATCCTGAAGAGTTTTTTTTATCACAATCCCAATCGAGTTTAGCTAGGCATATCTGCTTAAACTTTAACGTTTCATACCATAATAATAGTAGTGAAAATTGGATCAAGTAACATAAACTAAAAAATCCTGAAGAGTTTTTTTTAATCACAATCCCAATCGAGTTTAGCTAGGCCTATCTGCTTAAACCTGAACGTTTCATACAATAACAATAGTAGTGAAAATTGGATCAAGTAACAGAAACTAAAAAATCCTGAAGGTTTTTTTATCACAATCCCAATCGAGTTTAGCTATCTGCTTTAGTTTAACAAGCTCACTTTAGTTACTCCACCTCGGGTTGTATGATTGTCTTTTTTGGAGCACGCGTCACGATACAATGTAATAAGAAGAATTGCGAATAATGAGATTAGGCCGACATCACCCTCATAATAAGAGAGCTGTGATTAATAGAGGAAAGGAAGAAGAAAGAAAAACAAATTAGGAACGATGAGAGAAATAAAGAACAGGAGAGAAACAAGGAGGTGCGTAGAGACAGAGGATGAGAATAACGGTGCCGTAATCTAGTTATCTGTCCACCGGATGACTGCCGGGCCACGTTGCCGGAGCGGCGGGCGAGGAGCGCATCAGCAACCCACCCCCTTTCCCTCGGAGACGGTGCCGTAATTGGATTAGCAGCAAATTTAATGGTGATATAATGGAGGCTTAATTGACACAAAACTCACTTAATCGTCGGGGCAGAGCGCAAATTGATAGAATCAAGGGAGTAAAATAATCCGCACCCGATAAATTGAAACCGTTTTACTTTATTCCTTTCTCTCATTTCCAACATGCGCTCTCTCTCTCTCTCTCTTTCTCCCTCTCTCTCTCTCTTCTCTCTCTCTCTCTCTCTTACTCTCTCTCTCTCTCTTTCTCTCTCTCTTTCTCGCTCTTTCCCTCCTTTTTTTTCTCTCTCTCTCTTTTAATCTTTATCTCTGTGTTTCTACTATCTGCATCGCTCTCCTGTCTTTTATTTATTACGTACACAATCTCGTATATCACTTTGTTTTCTATCTCTCTCTCTCTTCCTCCCAACTCTCTTCTATATCATAACATCCCTGTCTCTCTGTCTTTCTCTGTCTGTCTGTCTCTCTCTCTCTCTCTTAGTCTCCCCATCTCTCCTGTTTCTCCTACTTGTAACAAATCTCGCGCACTGGACCCTCGAAATGAGATTACGACGCACACCTAACGAGATTATGCAATTTGACAAACCAATAAGGCCCCTATTCGGGGACTATTAAGCACAGATTAAAGAGCCCCTTAATAAGATCATCAGCAGAAATACCGTATTGTTTTCCTAGATTGAATTTATCAAGGCCCAATAGCCACCGACCCGCAGGGAGTTTTGGAGCATCGATTTGAAGTGATTTTGTTTAACTGGAATTCGGTGGCACGCGCTCCCCCCCCCCCCATTTCTCACCAAGTATTTCTTGTCGAGATTAATCTTTCTTAAGCGATATACCCCTTTGCCACTTTTTCCCTACTTTTCTAGGACACTTGAATCGCCTAACTTCGCATCACACATTGGGGAAGATTAAATTTGTTTTCAGAAAATCTAATTTGCCGTTGTTGCCTCTTCAAAGTATTGCAGTAAAGAGATTTTCTAGTCGTCTTTTTCACTTTCCTAAAATTTACACTCGAACTTACATTTTTCGGAAAGAATATAAAATAGTAAGTAGAAACATTGTAATTTAAAAGGAAAGAAAAAAAACTCTATTTTCGATGTGTTATACAGTATAGGGAATATTGAAAACAATGTAACACACCTACAAAGAGTATCTTATATAACAGAGTCTGTTTCATGTTACTCAATAGTGTTGTTTTCTATAGTTTAGAAGTCTTCATAGTCACCTTGGTGTTTAGATTGTACTTTCTTTTTTTATTCAAAAACTACAACATCAAATGACACTTGGTTTGATGACGAGAAAAGGGCATAGGTAATTCATTATAATTCTATTTCGGTTATTCATAAAGATAGTATGAAATATTTGAAACCGTTATCTTGAAAATGATGGAACTGATAAACATTTTTTAATTATCACAATTTCAATATTATAAAAGGAGCTTTGACGTAGTTTACAGCCCTTTTCTCTCTTCTCTCTCTTTCTCTTTCTCACTCTCTCTCTCTCTCTCTCCTTCTTTCTTTCTTTCACTCTTTCTCTCTCTCTCTTTCTTTCTCTTTCTTTCTCCTTCTCTCTCTCATTCTCATTTCCATCCCCCTCTCTCTCCCCTTCCCTCGCTTTCATCTACCTTAGATGGTAAAACAGTTTGTTCTTAGAAATAACTAAGTGTTTAGAAACTACTTTGTTTGAGAACGGTATTCATGGATAGGGAATGTGGATGACTGTGTCACTTTTACAAAAATACTCAACCTGGTAAAATGTTCAAACGAGCAACTGCTAGGAATATTTTCTTAATAATTTAAAATATCTTTCCCCTTACCGTTATGGTTTTCTTGCTTCCGACATTTTGCCCGTCGATTCTGGAACCACACCTATGAGAAATAAATGAATGAATAAATAAATATATAACTGAATAGAAAAGTAAATGAATCTTTAAATGAATGAATCAATGAATAAATAAATAAATATATATATATATATACGATACATATTCATCAACTTGCCCATATATATTTAGAACTCACCTAACATCATCAGTTTTAAAAATAAAAATGTCACTGAACAGGATTCGTTATTTCACGTACATATTCACAGGAAGGTGTTTAGCGGGTGTGAGGTGGTTCCCCAAGAAAAAACGCCACGAATAAACATGCATTTATACAATTTGTTGTACCAAATATTTCAAGAATAAAACAGATATACATGATATTTGCCGAATTCGATTATGCTTCTTGCACACGATGCGTCAATTCGCTGACATGAGACAGCGTCATCGAAGGACGCGATTGTGACGCAACCCCAGAGAGCAAAAAGTAATGGAAAAATTAGCAGTGCAAACATTGCATTATAATGTCTGGCGTATGAGGGTTTAATGCATTCACGGTTTTTATTAATGAAGGTCGTGACGCAATCAAAATGACGCAACGTCTTTTCCCTGACGTACAACCGCGTCAGTGGCTTGTACGGATTTTAATACGCCATGTGAGAGTAATATCATTTCATAAATAGTTAATGCAATGTAATTAGTATAAACATATTGCTTTAAATTACTGGCGTATGCACTGATTGCCTCCATAGGCTTGAATGGCGCAGGGAATAACGCAATGGAAATGACGCAACGTTTGCAACAGGCAATATCAGCAAGTCTTATCATTAACTTTGTCATTGACGTACCTGCACTCTTGCCTCTGAGAGGCATAGCTTCCTGCTCAACTCCTCTCTCATGAACGCATCTGGATAATGCGTCTCATCGAATAATTTCTCCAGCTCGCTCAACTGCTCCGCCGTGAAATTCGTCCTGCTCCGTCGCTGCTTCAACTTCCCCGCCGCCGCAGCCGCAGCCGATGACGACGGGTTAACGGTAGACAAAATACCGGAAGCCGACACATCTGCAGACGATGCCATTACATCCGGCGGCGATATCGAATCGCAACGATCGTCAGAGTTGTGTGAGGTTGGAGAATCGCAACCGACGTCACTTCCTGCTCTATCGAGTGGGCTGACGCCGTTGTTGATGTTGATCGTTACGGGAATTGATACATCGTCAAAGTTGGACAAGCATTCAGGCGACCGTCTGGTGACGGAGAGAGGAGTAGGTAGATTCGAAAGTGTTTTGGGGTTGGATCGTGGAAGGTTCGGAGACAGGGTATCGGCGGGAAGTGTGACATCGTTATCTTTGACGAGTACTCTGCCGTCTGCCCGATTGGTGTCTGACGTAACAATAGCTACACTGTCATAACTGTCATTCGGTGAAACGTGGTCTTTAGACATTGTTTCATCATCACCTGTACAAATTAAAACGATAGAATAATGATAGTTATTATAAGAGTTACCCTCATAATGCGCTTTCATCTGAGGGTTGTTCAAGGTACATACTGAGAGATGATACCATGATCTACATAAATTTGCCCTAAGGCGCCGAGAGCGTGAAATGATTAACTTCCTACGCCTAGTTACTAGACCTGGATGGAGAGTGGCAAAATGTCAATATCTTGCCAAAGAAAAATAGTGGCGCAGTTGGGATTTGAACCGTGGACCCTGTTGTGTCCCAGAGTACAGTGACATATCCACTAGACCATGACAGCTCACAGTAGTTACTGATCCAGGTTTGTTACAGCTGCTGACGGGGGGGGGGGTGAGCGTGGAGAGGGCACTAAGCACTAAGCGATCAAAGAAAGTCGAAGGAAGAAAGGTAGAGATATTCTGGTCGCCTCTTATCTATCTCAAAGAATCTACCAGAATTGACACAAAAACGGGTTATATAGGGGAGAGATCAGAATTGCAATCGTAGTAACGTTCGAACGCGATTGGTTTTTAACTTTGTAGAAAATTAGAATTATAGTAATAATTTTCAATTGTAATAAATGAAACTTATCTAGCTGGGTTTCTTTGTTTTTTTAAAACTTTGTAGAAAATAAGAATGAAAGTAATTATATTCAACTGTAATAATTAAAACCAATCAAGCTGGGTTTATATGGAAAAAGAAAGGATATCAAAATAATATTAAAATAGTTTTCAAAAGAAAAAAATGGGGCATTTTCGAATTCAGCTTTTTCATGGCAGATTAATAGTTAAATGTACAAGCCAGCAGATTATTCAACAATAACAATACATCCCATTGCCACATTGACTATCGAACATACGTTTTTCTCCTAAAGCATGCAAACATAAATACCCCCCCCCCCCCCCTAAGTTTAAAACTCTTACATTTCATTAAAAACACAAATTAATGCGCGCAGAAACTCAGGAATAATGATACCCTTACTCAGGGTAGTAGTCCCACCCTTGTCAGCTACATTATTATACGCAAAGTATCCAGAAAATGCATGCGCCTTCACAATCATAATTAGAAAAAAATGTCTATTCCTAATGTTTCTTTTTACCCTTACTATAATCTGGGTACACAGGCATAATAGCGATGTCTGTGAGAAGACAAGTAAAATTTGAAACATGACCCAAACAAAAGCTGAAAATCAAAACCATTGCTCATGATTTTGTTTAATATATCATTTCCATTTGTATGCTTGTAAATAAGCAACCAGGGGACCGACGGCTTTGAGTTAGTAATGAGGATTAACGCCTTACCATTTAATGACTGATTGATATAGATCAACACCAAAGCAGATTATAAAAGCAATCGTGATAAAGAAAACGTCCAGTGGTTGGGGTGATAATAACAAGTAAATTAGGCTTCTGCCAACCGATTACATAGATTACACTCCGTTTACCAATTAAAAATGGTTTTATAACCGCATTTAGTCTTTGAACCGTTATTTCTAAAAGTTACTTTTAAAAACATTTTGCATGTAATAAAATGAGAGTATATAGATACAGGCTACTTTTATGTTTGTGATTTAAAAGATTGCTAAATTAAAATTATTAGCCTCGTTATTGTTTTCAAGATTTTTCTTAATTTTTCGGTATTCTTTAGTTCCTTCCCTTTTTAATTGGGCGTGTCTTCGGGGTAAAAAACAAAATACAATGCAGAAAGATCTATGCAACGATATCATCAGATTTTGTACCTAAAATAAAAAGGAAAGTACTAATTTATTTGTTAAATTATTACTTTGATTTATTTGTGTTATTATAAAGATATGCTTTAGATCGTTTTTATTGTAATATAATGTGTACGGTGTGTAAAAGAAGTAAATTGTTAAATGAATGTCACTTCATAATGAAGAGCGAGTGCGACAAGGCTCTGGTATCCGGCCCATGCAAAAGGTCAAATATTTTACAGGAACGTCACTCTACATTGCATAATAACGATGAAAAAAGGAACATAGGCCTATGTAAATGATAAAGTATTTTACTGAAGCTTTTACTTGAGTTGTGCGATTGTTTGAATAAAAAAGAACCGTGTACAAAATTTGGGACTTCAATTTATCATTACTTTTAGGGGGAGTGGGGATATTGACAGAATCGAGCAAAGGAAAACACGTTATTTTAATGATAGAAAAAGCCAATAAACGTGTATTATTCCCATAGAAATTGTATTTATTATTTTGTAATTTATTTTGTAATTTATTTTGTAATTTGTCATTTATATTAAAATTTAGACATTATATTCTATCACTGGAAGGAAATACATGGACAATACGAATACGATGAAACGACATTGATTTTTTTTGGTGTAGTTGTTGTTGTGACTGATGTTGTTGATATAATGTATTCGCAATTGGAGATAAAAGCGTCGATTTAAAAAAAAAAACATGTTGTACAACCACTTCCTTTCAAAAGCGCAAATCTCTACATGGCCTTCCAAAAGAAATGTTTCCACACCCAGTCATTTTTAAACCTTGATAGCAAATTGAAACATAGAATTGATAAAAAGTTGAAAATAAAATATACATGATTGCAACGAATGTTGACAAACAAATCTACTATTGATATTAACCCTGAGACTTTTTCATTTTTATATCGTAATGTTTCTCATGTAGGCAGACTATTTCTTTACTATTTACTGATAATTGTGTTCACTGCATTCAGTACCTTTAAACAACTCAATTGTTAAGAACGATTCAAATTATTGATTGAGTTAAAAAGTATCATTCCGGGATAAATGCAAAAAACACAAAGGTACGGAGGAAAGAAGTGAGGGAGGGGAGGGGAGGGGGTAAAGTTTCAGACGCAAATCCTTCCAATGTGTTATGACAACATGACAGAAGATTGAATTATTCAAAAACAATTATCACGAGTCAAAACAACAAAAACACCAACAATAATAACAACTACAACAACACACACCCCAAAATGTAAAATTTCGATATGATTATATCTCTTTTAGTACAACACGTTCTTATCGAACGGACCCGATCCAGAATACAACAAAAGATTATCTAGTTTTATCACGCTTTCAATGTTTACTACTTAATTTGAAATCTTTCCTTTTGTCGATCATTTTAAATTGGATTTTATTCTCGATTCAACTTGAATTCCAGCTTGAAAATGTAAAAGCTACGTAAGCCATTTTTCTGGGCTTACTATTAGTTAATACCAGTTAAAGACAAAACAACTAAAATGAAATAATCTAAGAATAAATTGCAGAAAGAAGGAATAAAAGTCATGATCTTATTACCATTTTCGTCTGTCTTTGGTCTCTTGGGATGTTTTTCTTCGAGAGTGCAGTCAACATGTCTTTTTCGGACGGTCAGCGGAACTGGCTTGAGTCCCTGATGGGCTAGCGTCGCGTCACTTCCCCGTAGCACTGCCGTATCACTCAAAGCAACTCCCTGTCGTGGCGAACACAGTTTCGGTGGACTTCCCAGCGACTGGCCAAACCCTGTCAGCCCGCGGCTTCGGGGGAGAAAAGATGCCAGCGTCGTGGACGGTGACATACCGCTGCTCGTGGTCGCATGTCGACCCTTGCGCTGCGTCGGACATGGGCCCGAGGTCGAGGCGAGCGTGCCTGATGTGTTGCCGATGAGACTCAACCACGCGCTGCACTTCTGGATGCTAGCAAGGGGTCTTCCTCGAACAGTGGATGAAGCGGTGGACGACGACGGTGATGACTTAGGGGCGAATTTCGCGTCATGTCCTTCGAAAGATTTGTCGACAAACGCTTGTAATCCCTCCATGCTAATGTCAAACTCCCGAGTCTAAATGGAATTGAGTTTCCGTATATTTCACAAAATATGGCTGATTTTTTTTTCTGCAGATAAACCGCCTTAATGAAACGAGAGTCTAAATTTGTTTTTAAGTTTTGATATTACAGATAAAAAAGACCAAAACTATTTCAACAACCAGAACGTTTATCGAAATAAACTCAAGCATGCAACTGAGCTTGAACAAAACGATCCAATTTTCTTTCGTCTTTTGCTATCATACATAATCGTAAGCCTTCACAAATTCTGATGCATAACAAAATATGTAGAACAATAAGTCAACATCTACCGGAGAAGAAAGAGACGCCAGAAAAGAGGCACCTTTATCGGTACGAGTTGTGAAGCTGAGATGAAAATGACTCGTTTTTCCGTGTCGCAGTGCTCTTAAATGTTTGCGACCCGGCCTGTAATTACTTGAATAAATGGAATTTGCGCGGTCATTAGCGCATGATCCAAACCAAATCAAATTATCACCGTCTTCATCTTGCAAAACGTATCAGATTTTGACCTTTGTGCCTTATCAAGGTATACACAGCGCAGGGAGAAACTGTCTGGGACAGAGTCGGGGAGAGAGCATGACAGAGAAGAAGAGAGGAGAGGAGAAAGTGTGAGAGAGAGAGAGAGAGAGAGAGAGAGTGAGAAGGAGGGGGGGGGGTGCAAGAAAAAAGGGTGAACGAGTAACAGACAGTGTACGATAAGCTGGCTAAGCAAATTATCGCCATTAAACGGCGAGATTGTGCTGTTTTATAGAGCAGCGGAAATAAAATCATCGAAATGTCTTAATTTCAGGATGAAAAAACAAAACCGCAATGTCGGTTGTTCAAATTTGTCGGTGATTTTTCCGTCCGTGTCCCGCAAGGATTAGCGAGTCGTTTAAATGGCAATTGAAAGGCATTATATGGGATGTAATGGGTGCGCATTACAAGGCAATCCCCAAAGCTGTTATGGCAAAATGCAATGATTCAATCAATTAAAGACTGTTTAAAGTTTAAATGACGCACTTGGTTGATCGGGTTCGCGACAGCCAATCATGGCTGCAGGATGGGGAGCAGAAAGAGAAAGAGAGAAAAGAAGAAAAAGAGAGGGAGAGGGAAAAAACACTCCTTTATCCTTATATATATATATAGATATATATATTTATGCATATTATATACACATATATACATATATATATATATATAGAGAGAGAGAGAGAGAGAGAGAGAGAGAGAGAGAGAAATATGTACATACTCATTTGAATGTAAAACAGGTGTGATTATAATGGACAAAGAAAGTGTGAAAATTAAAATAAGGATGTTACTCTGTCTTTAAAGATTATAACGAATGATTGAAATACAATTTGTATTGCTAGAAGAAAAACCTTTAAAAACGCAGAAGGGGTAATAAAAGTGTAAATTTTAACAATTCCATTTTCATAAGATAGGGAAGAAAAGAAATATAAATGTAATGACACAAACACACGCACACACTCACACACACTCACACACACCCACATCGTGCTAAAACTTTGGGATAAATGCACCCCAAGAAATCAAATAAGACAATAGCTAAATGTGATAAAATTAGATATAGAGGGGAAGAAACAGAAGGAGAGGATGAGAGAGAAGAAGGAAAGAGAGAGAGAGAGAGAGAAAGAGAGTCCGGGATAAAGCGATCAATCCACTTAAACCAACAACGAATTTAAGAGCGATTGAAGGGAGCCCCCTAGGGACAGGATCGCGTATCACTTTTCGCGCGTCATATTTGCTTTTTATTGTGCTCGCTTGAAGCTAGCGGCGTGGCGAAATTTGGTTAAAGCGGCCGAGTTGCCGTGTGATTGAGTTTTAATGTGCTTTCTCAAAAGCTTGGGATAAATTGATTCCTGCAAATTCAATTACGAGATAGGCCAGCGGTGATGTCCCTTCTTCAATCGTTTATAGGGTTATGAGACTGCTAAGGAAGTGATTTCTCTCTCTCTCTCTCCCTCTCACTCTTACTCTCTCTCTCTCTCTCTCTCTCTCATTCTCAGCCATTCGTTTGAGTTCTTTTCGCTCTTTCCACTTTTCTACTCACTTACGATTCCATCATGGGTGCAGTGTCTTACAATCGGTGACTATTGGTGTCATATTTTCCTCCCAAGATTGGCCGCCATCAAATTAATCAAACATCGACAGGCAGCTAGGGGATATACGACTAACAACTACAAAATAAAAACGAAAGCTGCTGTAATATCTGTGTATACGTGTAGGAAGGGGGAGAGGGAGGGGGGGGGGGGGGGGGGGGGTCTCCAATAAATTACCAACTTTATCGTTATCACGATGAAATTAATAACCATAGTTACAATGATGGAAAGTAATAACAGCACGAAATAATGACAGTAAGAACAATAATGACAGTAATGATAATAATAGTTATAAGTTATCATTAATAAAAAAAAATATAACAAAACAAACATACAAATAATATCAATGATAACAACAACAACATTATTGAAATAATAGCAACATATTTTTATCACGATGAAATTAATAATCATAGTTACAATGATGGAAAGTAATACCAGCACGAAATAATGACAGTAAAACCAGTAAAGACAGTAATGGTAATAATAGTTATAACTTATTATTAATAATCAAAATTAAAAAAACACAACAACAACAACATTAATACGATAATAACAAAAAGCAAAGAGATGTCGAGGAAGTGGGGATCTGCGGTGCGTGTACTTAGTACATATGACATGTCATTTGGGAGTAACATCATCACGCATCAAGATTTTTTGGGATATTAGCGGAGGTTGCATTGTATACAAAATATATGTATTCTGTTATTTTCCATGAATGATGGTAATAACTAAGTTCAGTATGTGATTGTTATTATTATTTAATAAAATTAGTGATTTCATTTCATTATTTTCCTTCTTTGCTCACTGTTTTGTGAATAATTTATTTGTGTTATGAAAACGAAATGAAGATTTGTATTTGTATGGAAATATTAACATTGATTTTGTGTATGTAATGATTTATTTTGAATGAAATCTCGTTTGTACGAAATATGGAAGTGAAAAATGTTCTACATGGATGGAATGGGTGGGGATGGGGCATACACGCCGTTTTTATCTTACATCAATGAGGGATTTTTGTACAAAAAAGTATAGCCCTATGATGCAGTGAAGGGATGCACTCGTTCACCCCTCCCCCCTCCCCCCCCCCCCCCCCCCCCGCGAAGGTTCGTTATTCCGAATAGTCATGATTTCGAAACCTTTCCCATATAAGGGGTTTATAATTCCGAAAATAATACGGGAGTTCCGAACCTTGGGAATCACATTTCATTTTCAAAGTATTCCTTTTTCATTTCCAGTTTATTAACCCTACTTCATTTCCGAAATTAAGAATCCTATTTCATTTGAGGATTTACGATCTTTCGAAATAATTTAATCTTTTGGATTAATCGAGCTTCGGAATAATGAACTCCCTATCCACATCTTAAATACCCTTGTCGGAAAGGCACTTCTTACATTTTCACTTATTCAAACATCGGATGCCGACCCGAGCGAATTTTTGTCTCATAAAAATAAACTATAAATTATAACGCGATCGCAAAGGCTTTTGAGAAATCTACTCTAGCACAATTTTAATAATGTATCGTACACACCTACAAATCATTTTCGGATTACGTAATAATTATTTCAGACATTTGTACATTTCAACGAGTGATGGAAAGGGCTATTGCAAATGATTTTTCGAAAGTCTTTGCAATAGTCGTAACTGACAGTAATGAGGATTAATGCCTCACAAAAGGGCACTAATATATAGCTGATCGACACGATTTTTATCCTGGGGCCTCACAGTAACGAGACCATTGCTTAGCCCCTGAATCATGACTGTACGCAGTGTTTGCTAGGGTACGCGGCCCCTTCCACAAATCCCCCAAAACGAAGGAAATGCAATAAATTGTCAAAAATTCATTGCATTTTCCCCCGGCCCCCAACAGGAAAAATTCCTCTTTAGGGCCATGCATTATGGTTCAAGGCATGGCCACACAGAGGAATTTTTCTTGTTGGGGGCCGGGGGAAAATGCAATGAATTTTTGACAATTTATTGCATTTTCTTCGTTTTGGGGGATTTGTGGGGGCGGCCACGTACCCTAGCAAACACTGCGTACAGTCATGATTCAGGGGCTAAGCAATGGCTTTGTTACTGTGAGGCCCCAGGATAAAAATCGTCACGGTGTCGATCAGCTATATTAGTGCCCTTTTGTGAGGCATTAATCCTCATTACTGTCAATTATGATTTAAGGACGTAGGTTCCCTAGCTGATTAGCATAGTAGCACACATATGATTAAGCAGTCACGCAAAACAAACACTCGCAAATTAATATTCAATAAAATCTGAGAATGTATGCCATTATCTAGATCTATTAGAAATAAATAATTTTTAAAAATCCTTTCCTAAACTGGGGTAAAAATAAATATTCCACCATTATGACCAACAGTGTATATTCTATATCTAGGTCTCCACTCCTTCTCTCTCCTATAATAATTATCCTTGCTTATATATATATATATAGTGCCTACACTTACTTTATCAGAAGTCTCTAAGCGCTCTACAATAATGCAGCATAATTACCCTGGCTTTAGCAGTGCAGCTGTTACGCGCGCTGCGTTTCAAGGAATAAATTCCTACCAGGTACCCACTTACTTCACCATATTTATATATCTTACATGTTCTTCTTTACGTCATCTCATTATCACACATCATTATGCATGCCTCCTTCACTTTTACATCCACTTATTTACCTCCAATCAGAATAGTTTCATCTCAATCTGTGCCACTGGTCGTGTAGCTAAGGTCTGGTAGCTTCTGGAGAGCAATTTATCAGTGCATGATTTTTCTTGGTGTTTTCTGATAAAACTGGAATATGCTAACTTGTACACCATCACTGGAAACTCATATTGCCTAGTCCTTTATCAGACAACACTTCATACTTTCGAACATGATGCAGTGTTTGAATTATATATTTTGATCAACATTTCTTTATTCATTTTTTTCTTCTTCATATTTACAAATGTGATACACAAAATATCATATATTATTAGAAATTCAAACAGCCAACCAAGATATATCACAAGAAAATATTAAATACATTCCTGCTTTTCCTCGTATAAAACCTCATACCTTTAGTTTGTATGGCAGATACATATCTATATGTAATCGAGGCATTAGTCTTGAACACTTTTAAAGCAAATCAATCAAAGAGCAC